ATTCTATAAACATACATTTACAACGTTGATGCGTGAATATTTTTTCCGTATCAATATATAATTTACAGTTTTACATATAAATAAATATAAGTATTCTTATAGAAATTTATCACTAGTAACGCCAATTTATCATTTATTTCGAGCTCTTAATCACTTATTATTTCGAGTACTTAAATTACTGTATATCAGTATTTTATTATTAAGTACTCGAAATAAGTGATTAATTGACGTTATTAGTGATAAATTTTTACAAGGGTAAAATATAACGGTGTGTATTTTATTAACACATCACGAAATGTGCAAGGCGCGAAACGATATGATTCGTCGAGCCTCGTATAAATGTCACGATAAGCGAACGTCGTGAAACCTAAACGCTCGTTGTGTTAGAATTATACTTTTTTTATCTCTGTCGCGTAATCGACATGTAACAAATAGCGGCTATCGAAAGCTCGGAGGTGCATGTATACTGATAATTCCGACAGTGGGCGGATGATGAAGGAATGTGATCTCCGTAATGATTAATAATATATGTATCGCCTATTAAAAAAATTGATGTGCTATTAAAAAATAATACATTCCTCGATGTGATCTCTTTAATAAAATCATGCAAATTAATTATCTAGGACATAATTATTTACATTAACAAATATATATTTTTAATTATCTTGACCCACTGATCTCTATATATAACTGGATTTGGCATACCCCAATAACATATAGCTATAAAAAGTATGACCAATAGAAGCGATTAAAATTGTAGGCTGTATCTACATTTTCATAGCAGCAATAAACATTATATGTATATACATATATATGCGAAATATATATATATATATATATATATATATATATTGTAAATTTAATCATGATTTTGATTGGAAAAAATTTGACATTTTACATATGGAAAAACATTTAAGAAAGAGGGAGATAGCAGCAATGTTTTCATTAAAAACAAAATAATAACATAAATTCACAAAAGGATACAGAATGTTTAAACGACGATGTACAACAAAATTATAAAGGTCGTGTAAATCTGCTTATTAAAAATATATTAAAACTTGACGGATCCTTCGGCGTGATATGTTGACTAATTTCTCGTACCTTCAATCGTTTGACTTTTATATATTTATATTTTAATAATTATCCACAATTAATATGAAGATTTAATTTAATAATATATATTATAAGTAAGTAATTAAATCTTCATATTAACTGTGGATAATTATTAAAATATAAATATATAAAAGTCAAACGATTGAAGGTACGAGAAATTATATAGTCAACATATCACGCCGAAGGATCCGTCAAGTTTTAATATATTTTTAATAAGCAGATTTACACGATCTTTATACTTTTGTTGTACATGTCGTTTAAGCATTCTGTATCCTTTTGTGAATTTATGTTATTATTTTGTTTTTTAATGAAAAACATTTCTGCTATCTCCTTCTTTCTTATAGCGTTTTCGATTGGGGTGCACTGGCTGCACTGAATGTCAGGCGCGTGTTCGATTGGTAGTGCCAATGCGCACTTGGCTAGTGTTGCGTGTTCGTTTGAACGCACAACACTCGCATAGTGCGCACTAAGTGGCACGAGATATTTTGACGGTGCCAGTTCAGTGCACTGGATGCATGCAAGCAGTAGGGCATTCTTTTGAACGAAAATTCGACATAATGAGCAATTCGGATTTGGCTCTCTTTAATATTTTGGAGACATTTTTGGAATCTTCTTCTAGTTCAAGCGAGCAAGAAGAAATAATTACAACTCTTCGAACTAAAAGAATAATTCCAAAAACTGTAAATTATGTAGAATGTGTGAAAAAAATGGATAATGACACCGTAAGTGTTATATCTTTTTATATGAACATCGAACCTATACCCTTTTTTAAAATATATTTAATGTACTTAATGTAATAGCATTTTTATACTGGAAAATAATAATTTTTATATTTGTCATACGTGATATTCTTGATCATCTTCTATATTTAATTACATATAATAAAAATCATTACTTAACTGAACACAAGATGTCGAGGTTACTTTTTCGTTCTTCCCGGAATCTAGTCAACTCAAGTGGCACTGAAAATTTCGGCGTGTTCTTTTTCACCTGCACTATTCAGTGCAACCCATGGAACTTGTCCAGTGTTCGTGTGAACTGAGTGCGCACTGGTGCGCACTAACTTTTTCCCAATCGAAAACGCTATTAAATGTTTTTCCATATGTAAAATGTCAAATTTTTTCCAATCAAAATCATGATTAAATTCACTATATATATATATATATATATATATATATATATATTGTCATTAAAATATCAAAATAAGCGCCATATTCATATTATATAGACAAAGCACACAAGTTTCAATTGGTCACACGTTTTTTGTTTTATGCCTTATCCAGTTATATATAGAGATCATAGTGTCTTGACCCTACATTTTCTTGTTTTCATCGACTATATAATTTTTGAGGTATGCATATGAATATTAAATGTTCAATACAAATGTGGTTAAAGAAGAGATGACTATATCAGTTTTTTTACAACTTAATTACAATAAACACATTAAACTTTAATAGGAAATAAAATCTAAAATTATATATATATGGTTAAGTATTTGCATTTTTTCGTGCGAAACAAAATACTTCGTGTATCGTTCAATGATTTCAATGTTAATTAGTACGCTTACCTTTGCATATATTAAAGTCAAAGGACATTAAAAATGTTGTGTTAATGTAAATAATTAATCTAGTAAATATCTCTCAGAATATACAGAAGCAACTAAAATTATTTTTAATATTATATTGATAGTTGATTAATGCGTTTTTTTATTTATCTCATTGATTGCTAGATTTAACAAGTAGAATAATTTTATAGATTCACTATTCTATAATCTAGCACATACAAAATTGCGAATTCAATAATTTGGCTCTTTATTAATCATAAAAAATTAGGAAAATCGACTTTTGAAAAATTTGGATTTTCCGTATAATCAAGATCTTAAAATTAAAAGAAATTGCGGAGGAATAAAGAAGTTACTTTTTTACGTGTGAAAAATCTTGCATAGATTCCTAAGTTTTGGGGGAAGATATTGTTGGATTCTTACTGATTAACAATCACAAGAAAGCTTTTCTCATACGCCTTTAACAATATGCTGTTGCATTTCTGGGAAGAGAAGTTACCTTACACTACATTATTTTGCAACTATGATATAAAATATGTTTCATATGGTACATAAATAAAAAAATGTCTATCGAATGAAAATACATTCCTTGACAATATTGTTTTCAGAAATTTGTATTATACGTACATGCACTATATATAATAATGAGCTTGAACTATACATTTCACGAACTATTATTTTAATCCTTATTTATTTAATTAATTTAAATACATTGCTGGATTGTGTGTATACGCGCGCGCGCGTGCGCGCATGTGTGTGTGTGGGTGCATGTATAGATCAATACGCGTGTTTAGCGTAATATTTCAAGTCACAAGATAGTACAGTACCGATACAATAGTGAAAGATCATTATTTCATTCATCGTATTTATTCTCTACACATACATCAGTTTATTACAGTTCAATATCTTTTACTACCTCACACAAATCGCACAAATCGCACTCCATTAACGTAAATAATTAACAGTTATCTTATATACTTAATATTTACACGTATAACATATCCTTAGTCGCTTCATATAATACAATTGCGTTACACGCTGCTTGTGGTCACTAAAATAAACATTTCGTTCTTCAAACACTTGTAGAATCTTGATACCTAGAGATCAAGACGTCAAGATCTTAAGATTTCTTGATTTTTTAGGTCCATCTTTTTGGAATTATTTCTAAATTTTTCGGCTTTTTCAACTCTGTGATTTTTAACAAAACTTGTAATTTCTACGAGTTTTGAATGTTTATATACTTGGAATATTGATTGAAACAATATCTAAATTCAATTTTTCTGAAAACATTTTAATGGAATTATTGAATCCTTGTCATCTTAGTCATAAATCTTGGGATTTATTATTTTAAAGTTAGTAAGATCTCGTAAATTTTTTGCATTTTGTTTTTTTTTCTATTATTTTAAAATGTTTTTGATTTTTTGTTTCTCTCAAAATCTTCAAAATTATCAATTCAGATTAGAGTCTGTTTGAACTGCTTTTTATCTTTCGTCACAATGATGAGGAATAAATGGTAAAGTAGAATATAAGTAATTCGAAAAAGAAAGATTACTGGAGAGAACTCTAATCTTTGCATTTCTCAGTAAATTACGTGAGAAAGATATCTGTGCGTTAAAGAACTGCTGGAAAGAAGAATGGATATCTCAATAGTGTTTACAATAAACAAATCAATACGATTACAGGAGCATACGCGAAATGTACGATGGATTCTTGATTACAATGTTATATAACTCATTGTCAGCTTATAATGAAATTGTAGATTCTAGTAAAAAAAAAATTTTTATATAATTTCGTAATTTTGAATCTGAACTTCTTTCAAAGCTTCTAAATGTATAATTTTTATAATATTTAATTTTCTTGCAATTTTATAAAATTCTTAACATTTAGAATATCGGAAAATTAAGATTTTTTTCTTAATTTTGTACATTCGATAAATCCACTATCAATGCTTTATTCAAATATCGATATTGTGTAGAAAGGCAAATAATCTGGAAAATAAAAATCGAAAACATTTATCTACAGATACATTCTCCGATGTTATTTTTTCTATTACTGGTGTTTTTATCACTTTTCAAATTTGTACGTTTATAAAATTGTTTTTCTAGTTTTTTTAGCTTCCTTAGCTTTCCACAGAATGTGGATTCAATAGATGTTTTTCAATTAAAAGAAGAAAAGTGCATAAATATTACGTTGAAAGAAAACTATAAATAATAAGAGTAATATGTGAAGGCGAAGCGTAAATATATGGAATCTTGTGTGAGCGTGTGTGTGTGTGTATGTGTATGTATGTGTATATACATACATATATATATATATATATATATATATATATATATATATATATGTATATGTATATATATGTATATATATATTCATATCTATTTTAAGCTTCGTGATTTATCATACAAAAACAATAAGTCAGTAGAGATATGAAATTTTATAAGATCTCATTGGAAAGAGTAGCTATATTAACCACAGCTGTAAACTCTAAAATTTCCTGGAGACGAAAAATCGCGGAGTAAAGTGATCGTGTGAATCTGGTGAAAAATTTTAAGACATATTTGACGATTTCTGGTTGTCATTCTTATCAACAGCCGATACGTGGTCGGGATTTTCCCCACGTGCAACACGCTCCCACATCTTTGTATATAGCATTTCCATGCCCATCGCGTAAAGCTTGCAGTTGAATAGAGGGCTCTCCGAGCGCGCTTTCCAAACTTTAGCCCTTGTTGCTTTCAAACTGGAAAAAATAAAAATGTGTCTATTATCTGCAGAAAGAAAACTTTCTACTGATTGTTTTGCAATAAGTCGAATACTTACTATTCTCTATCAGTACCCAGCCTAATAGCGATGTCTTGGTACTCTTGTCGTGTTTCCGCAACCAAGTCTGGACAGCCGAGAGTGTTCAATTGACTAGCAGCGACTCGAGAAGCTAGAGTCTCACCCGGTAGTGTAACCACTGGCGTTCCGGTCCACAAAACGTCCATACTGGTTGTGTGTCCGTTGCAAAGTGGCGTGTCTAGGCATACATCAGCTAATTGGCCTCGTCTTACGTGTTCTTCTTTAGCAGCGACATTGCTGAAGAGAATTCTGCCAGGCGTTAAACCCAATTGCTGCGCCGTTGATTGGAGATTAGGTTCACCGACCGCCGGGAAACGTAGTAGCCACAGCACGGAGTTTGGCACATTTTTCAAGATCTAAAATCAGATATTCATAGATGTTTTAAGACGAACGATTCGGCGAAAATCTTGGATTTTACATAAAAATGATCTGAGAGATCATTTACTTACATGTGCCCACATGTGAAGAGTGAGCGGGTCAATTTTATATAACTGATTGAAATTACAATAGACAACGGCATCTTCCGGCAGGCCGTACTGCTGCCTGGTTGTGATGACAATGTTCTGAGGCACCTCCTCGCCCGTGGCAGTTTTGTTGTTCACCTGCGTAGTGGTCATACCATTTTGCACGACGACACCGTTTACGGACATCTGACATTGACCAGAGGCTATCATTGTTTCGATCGGAGTGGTAGTCGGTAACTCGGCGACTTTGAGAGAAATTTCGACTGGTTGTTTCTTCGCGTCCGGTACGATTACCTCGCGAATCTCCTTTATCAGAGTATTCTCGATCATCGGAGAAAGATCCGTGGCATTGATTACGGCTACATTATCGGCCACCTTGCCTTTATGATTCAATTTATCCGTCAGGATTAAACGTTCCTTCAGATGAGGGAACATTTGCCTTAAAAAATAAATAAATAAATAAATAATCTTATCAAACAGATAAGCAAAAACTTCTAAAAGCTGACAAAAATATAAACGTTATTACATAATTATAACAGTAAAATTGTATAGTTCTTATCGCCAGGAATAATAAAAATTATAAATCAAACGTTAAAATACACATCATATTTCTAAGTGTTGTCGTTATTATTTTGATTTATAATTATTATTACATAATGTTTATATTTTTCCCATAAACGCTATTTAAAAATGGACATACTTGTGATCACCGATGAAGTAAGTGTGCGGCATGTAAGCGAGCTTCTCGCTGTATTGGTTGGCGAGCTCTAGTGGTGAGGTGACCTCGTCTGTTATGAGATAGTCCATGAAACTTGCGCCGGAAGTACCAGGATAACCCAACCACATGACCTGTATCGCCGCCGGTCGCAGGGCAAAGATTTCGTTCCTGGCGCCTTTCGTATAACCATTCATGTTCACCAGGATATGGATCCCGTCAGCGTTGATACGGTCGGCGGCTTTGCCGTTGCACGGAATCTGTGACAAATCGACGAAGTGCTCGGCCTCGCGCGCGATCTTCGCGCGGAAAGTCGTACCGTCGTCCGCGCTGAGCGCGTAACAAAAGACCTCGACCTTTTCGCGATCGTGCAAGCCAGGAATTGATTGCATCAAGTGACTGGTGGGATGATTTCCAAAGTCCGACGAAACGTATCCAATCTTCAAGCGTGTGCCCATCGTACGCGGATATTTGTACGGCTGTTTATGAAGAACATGGATCTGCAACGATTTATTTATATATGACTACTTAATGGTACGAGAAAATATATTTGTGGGACGATGAATAGAATATGTAGAGTATATGGCTTGAAACGATTTACGGAATTAGATCACTGATCTCTATATAACACTGGATATACTATGGAAAAAGTGGGAAAGTGTGTTAAGCTTTGAAGGCCCGACAACCATCTTTAATACAGTAAAATATGCACTTTTTGATGTGTGAAATTAGCATCCCAACATCAAAGTTCTGAACTGCGGGGTGCTATTCATCTGAATTGAAATATAAATTAAACAATATATTGTACATGTATTACAATACATATAATTTGATTTTTTAGAATTTTTCAATTTATCAAAGATGGCTGCCTGATTTTCAATTCATAACACGTTCTGTTAAATACGCCATCCAGTGTTATATGGAGATCAGTGAATTAGACGAACGCACTCACCTTCTCGATACAAAGATTAGCATGCCTAGCAGCGATAGCCTTCCTGAATTCGTGAGACAAAGGATACAGCATGGAATGATGCGGATGTACGCTAGGCAGTCTGTTCTTATCCAGTTGCTCGGCGACAATAGACACCAATTTCTTCATTCTAGCTTCGTAGTCCGTCCAATCGCATACTATCTGCAGACAATGCGCCAGATTGCAATAGGCGTCAGGAAAATCTGGCTTTAGCTTCAACGCTGTTCTGTAAGACTGTATTGCTTCGGGAATGTTGCCGGAATCTTTATGGATCGATGCCAAATTGGAATGAGCGTCGGCGAAAGCTGGATTGATTTGTATAGCTCGTGTGTAGCACTGCAAAGCTCCTTGTATGTCTTGCATCTCTTTGAGCGTGTTTCCCATGTTCGAATAAGCATCGGCGAAGGTCGGTTGTATGCGAATCGCTTCCTTGTAATGCATCAGAGCCTCGTTTAGTTTGCCTTGCTGCTGCAAGACAGACGCGAGATTGCTATGAGCAGCTGCGAACTCGGGAAATACCTCCAGAGCTTTAAGATATAAGCGAGTCGCTTCCTCGATATACCCTTGTTCACGTTTTATGTTGGCCTAAAAGAAAAAAAGTTTATCTTTGATATTTTCACACACAGAATTTAATGTTAAACTTAAAACGGCGTGATTTCATACCAAATTATTGAGAGAATCGGCGTGTGTAGGACAAAGCCGGAGGGCGGTATTGTAACATTCTTCCGCCTCGACCACTTGGCCCTTCTCTTTAAGAGCGTTTGCCAGATTGCAATACGCATCTGGGAAGTTTGGTTGGAGTTCGATAGCACGACGATATGTGTCGATGGCCAGATCAATAAGCCTGTAATATCAATTAGCGTTCGATTGCTTTGTCGACAATTTAGCCAAATTTGTTACAATAAAAATTGTAAATTCAAAATCATCGTAGGATGGTTATCGTAAATGATATTATTACAATTTTTTACTAGATTATGATCCATCTTTTCTCTCTTGTAGTTAGCTAGGTGTTTGGATCCAGCCTTAGAGCTTAGCACCAGGCTTATTAGATCCATCACCAGATAGCCACAATAATTGTTAAGACATTTTGACGTCAAAGTGACTACTGTTGCTATCTGGATTGCTTTTTCTAGATCCTGAAGAACTAATTTTCATCGTAAATAAAAATAAAAATTATTAACTCACCCCTGCTCATAGTAGACGCATGCCAAATTTCCATGTACGACTGCATTGTTAGGGCTGAGATTCAATGCACGGAGATAAGCGGCTACAGCTCTGGAACAATTGATAAACAAACATGATTCTCAATTTCGGATCTCATTTTCAACAACAAAACAAAAGAAAAGATATTAATAATATCTTTTTTTTCTATATATCCGCGAAAAAATTGCCCTTTTTATTCCAGATCGTAATGGTAGAAACTTAAATTGTTAATATAGCACCCGACGTCACAGAGACGAGTCTGATGAACCTTTTAAGAAAGCGCCTGATCCAGGAGACGCATCCAGAGGTGGAGGGTCGCGCGATAGTATCTTCTATTTGTACGCGAAGCGCGGGCGCGATAGTACTCGAGGGTGAGATCACCGTATAGACAACCACGCACTGGCAGTCCATTCCTTCCCCATCCCGCCCGTCTTGGATCCCGCGGATCCCGAAAGCCCACGGATCTGAATGCGAGAAGAGGACTCTTGACGGCACGACTGGTTAGATATTAATTGTGAATCCTTGGAGAGGCGGAGCAGGTGCAAGAGATCCTGAGGAGATCTATCTCCCTTGGAAGGAAGGGATTGTTAGAAGCGCAAAGGAGGGAAGATTCGAAATCGAATCTTTTGCAAAGCACGAAAAATGTTGAGTCTACAAATTTATTGAGAAAAATTTTATATTTCTTCCGATAATCTTCCAGGTCCAGGTTCTATCAATCCTAATAGCACACCATATCCGGAAGATATTCTGAGAATATCTAGAGAATATTCGAACATCCTCAGGATGTTTTCTAAACGTCGTCAGGATATGTGTGCTGTTAGGGTAGAAATCTCGTGTAAAATGGAAAAATATACGTATACCAACCAGTATTCAAAGATACGTGTCAATTCTTCTATAGATCTCTTCTGCGTATTTTCGTGGACTCAACGATTTTCTCGGCAAATGCGTTAAAACAAAAGGCACGAATTTTCCTTAGATACGTAGAACCCCGAATACACAAATTCCTAGATGCACGTTGACGTATCTAATAATAAGCGCGGGAAACGAAATAAGAATTACACCAGAGCGTGAATTGTATAGCTTTGAATCCACGTGGATACAGGATCCACTCATCTCGGAATACACAGGCGGTATCTAAGCAGCAAGATATAAAAGCGGGAATTACAAGCCCGTGGAGATCCTGATGGATCCTGATAGATCCTGTCAGCCCTCCGGGAAGCTGACGGTCGAAGGGAAGCTGTTTAACTCGCGAGCGAGCGAACGAGATTCCCGTTTTCGGCGAAAGTCGTGAACGAGCACGCGTATCCTCCCGCAAGGGTAGGGGAAAAGAGAGGCGAAGGACTTCCGTGGGGGCGGAGCGGTTGCTGGAATCGATAGTTGTCCTCAAATTCCTCCCACTTTGTGCGTGAAAGGACTCCCTCTCTCTCCACCAACGCAGAATCAGGATTACCAAGAAATATATATTATATTTCATGGATCCATTATAATTATTATCATCATCATCATCATCATCATCATCATCATCATCATCATATATAATAATAACATTTTGTTATAAATTATATTTTATAAGCACGTTCATTTTCCTTAAAAAAGAAATTGTATATATATATGTATGTATGTACGTATATAAAATTAATCAATAAAAAAAAATAAAATTAAAAATTAACATAAAACGTATAATCAAAATTATGTTTTAGCTTTATTAACATTAGTGAAGAATAAAAAATTCTATATCCTTTGTTAACAAAAATAAAAAAATATTTTAATACGTCAATCGAGAGAGAGAGAGAGAGAGAGAGAGGGAGGGAGGGAGGAAAAATGTTAAAATATAGGGCAGTATATAAGCGATACTTGGCAAACGGCGACTTCTTTTATTTTGGTTGTTCAGACAATCTTGGTAAAGATCAATAGAAAAGCGTAAAGACGTAGTTAAGAAGAAAAATGAATGTGTTATGTAGCCATGGAAGCTTTTTACACTCAGCTTGGGAACTCAGTCAGAAAATTTATATGCAAAGAAACGAGAAGAAATCGAGTGTAAAAAAAATAATATATATATAAAAGAGTTAAATAATGCGAAATTAAGAATTCTTTTGTTCGTTCTTAAAAAATACAAAAAAGTTACTGATGAAATTAACAACTGATGTAAGACTTTAAGTTATCGATATGAAAATCATATTAAGTAAGAGCCAAACGTCACAGCTTCTAGGAAGAATTAATTTAAATATTTAATTCGAGATTTTAAGTAAATCCCTCTATTCTTTCTAAAGTTAAATCTCAATTCGAGATTTTTAGCAAATCCCTCTATTCTTTCTAAAGTTAAATCTCAATTCGAGATTTTGATGAAATGGTTAAAATGGTATCATTATAAAGTATCGAGAAATATATGAAAATATTAATAACACGAGATTCTTTGTCCGTAATTTTTAACATGAGAAACATCGGAAAATAGTGCATTGCCCGAATTCTCGTTTCGAGTGCAGAGAACGATGAACTTGAAAAGGATATTAGGACATGAATATCGATTCTCGGTGTTCACAGCGCCACATTCTATTTTCGAGTACAAATATGTTGAATCTATATATAACATTGGTCAACACTGATTTTATTGCCAACTATATTAGACCAATTTTAGGGTAATTTTGTGTCGCTGTTCCGAATATGGCATTTATTTTCCTAGATTGGTTCTAATTTTTGAGATATAAGTGCAACACAAAAATGTAATGGTCAGGCATAGCCTATCCCCAAATCATATAAAATCATAGGAAATTGTTTCAAATCATCTGAAAAGTATATATATGAAATAACTAATGTTGTATTCACACACAGTAAAATAACATAAAAATAAGTAAGCTGATTCAGAAAAATGCTTTGTACAATTTTCTTTTATATAGGTCATCAGGATCACGTTGAAGCTAAAAACAGTGTTAAAGAATAAAAAACAGACTAAACAAACCCTACTGCATGTATCAATAATTACAGATCGTATTTAGAATAAAATTGTAATTTGAATATTCATTATCTCAAAAACTAGAACCAATTCGGCAAAACTATTATCATTTTTGAGTCATGGTTGATTCCACATCCCCAAAATACCCTAAATTCGTTCAAGCGTCCTTGGCACTAAAGTTTTTTGTTGACCAATATAATCATAGACTTATCAGTATATTCGTCTATATTAACACTTACGACTTCACTATTTAATTTAAAAAGATATTATATTTTTTAATCTTTTATATCAAGTGTGGTTCATGATTAATATACATAACAAAAATAATTACAGATATTAAAAATATTTTTTCCAGTTTATGCCTCCTGAGAAACGATGCAATATTAGCCTTTGGATAGCTTTTGGACCGACACTGTTTAAAAATATTTTTATGTCACTTAGACGATGTAAAATTCCGATTTGTGAATATTTAAATTACTTTAACTAATTAATTTTTTTCATCGATTTGGCTTTAATTTATACAGGGTGTTTCGATAAAAGTGGATAATTTCTCATAAAGAATAGATAAAAAAATAATCTCATGAGTTCCTATAAATTTTTTTTCTATAACGCATCTTTATCAAGATACTTGTATTTACAGCTGAAATAATATTTTTATGAAATAACTTTTATATCACTCTGCAGATTTTAATAACTTGCAATAATTACTTTTATATTAAGTAAAGATTTTAATTCTTTAAATTAGCGTGATAAATTCCTTGATATCATGTCGGAAAATTGTAGAAATAATAGACTTGTGTATGACTTTTGACTAGCCACTAATAATTTTATGCTATGTATCAGTGGAATAACTAAAGTCAATTTTAATCTTGCACAGATTTTAAAACCGACGACGGAAATATTGAGACGTCGATTGATCAAGACTGTGCGCGTGGAATATTATTTCGTAAATTTTGTGATAAGATGAAATTTTTGTTTTGATTAGGTTACTAAAACAAATCACATTTTACGCTACTAAAATTAATTATTACACATAATTCATATTATTTATTACTTACTTGGATTACTAAACTTTAAACGATTCATAATTCGCGACAAAATAAAATTCTGTTTATAATTTTAAGAGCTTAATGTATATGTGTATCTTGTACAAATAAACATATATAATATGATCTACACTTCATTTCTCTCAGCCAATAGAGCCACACGCGATGTTATTGCGACAATTAAGAAAGAAAGAAATTTTGGAAACTAAGGAATTTGTATCCTATGGTTGGGATCTCAGAAATTTCTCTTTGTTCCTTCTCCTAACTTCCCCTGTAAAGAAATATTGTCGCAATAATATCGCGTGTAGCTCTATTGACTGAGAGGAATGGAGTGTAGATCGTGTTAAAAAAAAAAAAAAAAAAAAAAAAAAAAAAAAAAAAAAAAAAAAAATTCTTATTATTGTTTCGATATATAATATGGTTAAATGTTTTCTATATTATATTATATTACACATGACAAAATTTACAGAACTCTAAAGTAAAAAAATTCAGAATTCTGTCCTAAATTTTGTCGCTAATTATAAATTCCTTTTAAGAAATTTAAAAAAATATATATAAAACATTCCATGCCAAGTGAGCCACTTTTATTAAAAAAAAAAACCTTTTTAAAAGCTAAAATTTCAAACATCCCTACACTAATTGTCAGATATATGCACTGAAAAAAAAATTTTGTTGGATTAACAAAAATTCTGTTCGAAAATGGACGAAACGGAATTCTGGTTGAATCTACCAGAATTCCTTTTAATACAACAAATATTATGTTTGCACCAATAAACTGATTTGTTGTACAAACAAGATGCTTGTTGCATTAAAAGGAATTCTGGTAGATGCTTGTTGCATTAAAAGGAATTCTGGTAGATTCAACCAGTAATTCTGTTTCGTCCATTTTCGAACAGAATTTTTGTTAATCCAACAAAATTTTTTTTCCAGTGTGTTTAATCCCATTATCAAGAAGAATAAAAGGACTGTATAAATTACATATAATTTAAAAAATGTTTAATCATAATCCGAGCTTAGATGTTCAAATTCAAAACGGCATCCATTTTGTGCAATTTTAGTTCCGCCATATTGTGAAACACATCTGATATATCGAAATAGAATAAGGTTAGGTTTTTAAACCATAAAAGATAACATTCTGCAACTCCTACGTTTTAGTACAGGCCCAGGTAGTAAGCATACGTCATTTAGACATCTAATGACATCATATTGACGTTTAATAACGTCACAGTTTGCTACTTGGTGGGGGATTTTAGCTTTGAAGCTCCATATATTTAATAAAAAAACAAACCTGTCAAAGATCCTAGCTTCTTTTAACACATTCCCCAGATTGATATATGCGTCCAAGAAGTTTGGATCTAAGGCCACAGCTTTCTCGAAATGATGTATCGCAAGCCAGATCTCCCCTTGTGCGTTGAACACGCAGCCGAGGTTGCTCCAAGCGACCGCAAAATCCGGTCGTGTCTCAATCGCCTTCAAGTAGCAGGCCTAGAGAAACAGAATGCGATTTATAGCGGCTACATTCGCGAACTCAGAGGGACGCGCGCTGCGCGCTCTGCCCGACCTCCCATCGCCGCGCTGCAGTTTCTCTTTCTCTCTCTCCCATTCTCTCGCTCTCATTCACTCTCTGTTTCATATATTCTCTCCCTTCCTTTCTTTCTTTATTTCTTTTTCTCTCCCCTTTTCACCCTCTCGACTCCGTCAAAACTATATTTCCTTTCGTTACTCTACATCTCCTTTCTATTTCCTTTCCTCGCTCATCTCTTCTCCCTTCATCATCAATTCGAGCAGTTTCGCTTTAGTCTTATTAGAGCTGCTCGAGTTCTTCATTCGTGGGATTAATTTTCTTTCAAGTTTCTTCAAATTAGCTTTTTAGAGGTAGATGAAAAATTGCTAGAGAATTTTACCAAAGTTTTTTGAAATTTATTTCGAGCTAAAATTGATTTAGAGAATTTGGTAAGATTGACCATGTCAATCTTCTGACTTATGTTAATCAGGTACTTTTTACTTGGTCTGGTAAGTGCACTGATTGTGAGTCTTGAGCCATTTTAATAAAAAAATGTTTTAAATATAAGTCTGAAGAAACGATACGATTATATACAATATTTATTAGAGAATCAACATTAGGAAAATTTAAATCATAATACGAAATAAAGAATCAGAATGAAAGAAAAAATCCATGTAATCCATTTATAAAAATAAAAATGTACGAAATTAAAATCCTACTAATAGATATAAATTAAAATTATGTAATAATACACATTTTCAACAATTAAACGATGTGATCTAATATAAATTTCTTAACAAAAGTATGCGTTTATTCTCTATTTTGCTGCACTGGTGAACTAGTGCATACTGTAAAATAAGTTAGAATAAAACAAAAATGTTTCTAATTTCTCAGTGTAACAATAAAGAACAAACTCTGTCACATATCAAAAAATTAATGTGCATCAGAGATTTAGAAGACATAATGCGAGAGTTTAAAATATTCTATTCTGTATTTCTTCCGCGTGTGTCGCTCTTTTTAAATCAACTTTTGATTTTTTTTTTAGTTTATTCCAATTTATGGATTCTTCTTTTATTTCTCCTTGAACGTTGCCATTCTTCGAGTTCATTAACTTCCCCCTTCTTTCTATCCTCGTCGAGAGCGAAAAAGAGGGTAAGAAATGGAAACAGAATGAACGAGGGTCTCCTCACAACATTTCACACGATCATCATCAGCATTGCATTCTCGGATAGGAATCGGGAAGGTGTCAAGGACAATAAAGGTATCTGGGTGCGCGCTAGAGACGTCATCATGTGTGTGGATAACGCGCGACTTCCGGTGCACGTAGAATCCCCGGAATGCGTCCGGCAGACTCGACTGCACGCTGAAGGCCGTACGCTAAAATCGAGTCTCAAAAATTCCCAAGTCTCTCTTTGGGACTCGTGTGATGAAACGACTTGTCGATGAGAAGAAAATCATGTCACGGCGTAACGGGATGACGACCCTAAGAATTTAGCGTGGATGATTATCGCGCGTGCCGAGAGGCGGGCTGCATTGATATTGAAAACAGAGTAATCTCCGTACCTAAACAATAAATAAGAAGGGCATTTACAGTCGACCAGTCTCTGCAGGATGACAGGTTTGCTTGGAATTAAAAAAAAAAAAACGAAAAAAAATTGAAAGGATTGTGCGATTTTTTATATATATTTTACAATCTTAATACATATTAAAATAGATTTAATTTTTTTAATTGCACCATTATTTAGCGAAAAGATGCAACGTATTATACACTAATATATACAGGATGTATCACTTTTTTTATTCCTTTAACGATAAGATCATTATTGCAGTGACGAATAATAAATCTGGGATATCTTGTACTACGTTTTTAAAAATAAAAAAGCCTTGATCTCGAATTTTCATTTAAACGAATCTAAAGATCGATTTGCATAAAACTGATTCATATGATGTACGTAAATCTTGATAGATAGATAGATAAACAACTTTATCTCTTTTCTTACATTTACTTACAGAATCCATAACGAAAACAATAAATACGTAAATTTGAGTAATAAACAATATATATCAGTGATGTTTCGCAATATCTAGGAAAATGGAATAAGGAACCCTTCGACACAGGAGCCGGTCGAGAGAGAAGGAGATTGGATTGATTGTAGGGGTCTTTAGAGACCGGCCTTGGGAATTACTTTACCTGCAATGTACCCTTTGGTAGGCTGACTCGGTAGGTACGGCTCGCAAGCTCTCATAATAAACTTAGACCGAGAGACAGTGTGTTACTGAATAACCAGATTCAGATTCACCCTTTGACGAAGGAACCGGCGCGGTAACCGACCATTCTCACATTGCTCCTGCACTTCCCCTCCTAGAGTTGATCATCCCATCCACAACAATAAGACAGCTGCGTTAATGTCTCTTCACTGATTATACTCCTCGCATCAAATCTTTGTCTTTTTTTCTTTACTTTCTACATACGTGTATGCGTGTGTGAGTGTGTGTGTATGTGTATACACAAAGAATTCAACAATTCGCGTGTCCGCAAAACGGCACGCCTCACCGAGCTCATCAGCCAGCTGCTGCGCAGACTCTACACTTTTTTCTCCTCTTTCTCTAATAAAAAATGTTGCATTAAGTTGTATTGTTCGGAAAGTTCGTAGCACTTTTTTTACGAAATTTAAAGACTTTGTTTAATTCTTTACTTGTATCTTTATTCAACAATATATGCACTACTTTCTTTTATGACTTTGCTGCCATCTTTCTGATAGCTTTAGAATCCCATTCTTCCAAAACATCTTATCATTCTGAAGGATAATTGTTCAAGATAATTTTTACAGGTTTCTTCGCTTTCGAATTTCTTAAAGAATTTTGTAGAGTTCGGAGCAAATGGTAATCTAAAGGTAAAAAGTCAGACGCATAAGGCGAGTGCGGTAAAACATCTCATTCAAATGCAATAATTTGTTTCGAATTAGAACATTAAACGACGAAAATGCACTTTATTTTCGTCCATTTTACCCGAATAAATTTAGTTACTAAAAATATTAAATTGAAATAATTCTTGCAGTAAAAGACGCGTTAAAATATAAAAATACGTATAGGTTAACAGATAGTATTACCACCAAAGAATACGTTGCTATACGCAATATTAAAAAACACTACAAACTTTTCAAACAATCCAATACAATCAACCGTCGAGTGGTGATGGTGCAAGAGAATGAAATAATTGCGATATTTTACGTTCGTTTACGATGTTGATAAAAGCGAATGGCTGAAGGAGCTCGGCAAGAAACGGACGAGCATACCAGCCAGTTCTCGAGAACAGCGGGAAATGTAACGAGAAGCTTTCCTAATTGCTCTCATCTTCAAGAACCGAACACCGAACGCGTATTCACAAATCTCGCATTTCTGTATTATAATCAAGCGCTTTATCTGAAGTAAAATTTAGAAATATTAAGCTGAAGAGGATCCAAAGAAAGGGCCAAAACGTTCTAAATAAAACTCAAGTATACACATCATCGACTCTTACTAGCCTATTCCTTTTAAATTTTTAAATTAAGACATTAGAGCCTTCTTTTCTCCATTATAATTTACTTAAAAATATATTTCAAGTGAAAAAAATATGTATAAACACACACATTTATGGATACGCTCTCGTCTCGGTTGATCGCCGCGCCGCGCTGCGGAAATTATTGTAGACCACTTGACCCTTTTCACAACAAAGTAGACCAATGTCAAAAAGCAACTCGCGATCACCGTAAAAGTCCCGCGAGCTTCGCAATTTCGAATGTATCTCGTAACTTTTCGATTCTTCTATTAATACGACTTGTACAAAAGTTATCTTCATCTTCTTTTGCATTTGTCCGATTTAAGGGAGTGCAACTGGTCAAGTAATCTCGCGCCGATATTCAGATTTTTCACCATACACACCGATAGATTCTCTCCCTCCCTCTCTCTCTCTCATACACACTCTCTTTCTCTCTTTCTATCATCAACTATTCATCAACATGAAAGTGCTGAAAAAAGCACAGCATGTGGCGATATGCACATACGCCACGAGAGAACAACAGCAAAATCGCACATCCAAAACAAGAGACAATAGATCAGCTCATTCACTTAAATGTTCGCGCGCTGCCAGCCTGTAGATTCGAATTTAAATAGCAATCGGATAATACTGGCTGAGCAATGCTATAATTTGCGACAACATCAAGAGTTCTAGAAATAGTACAAAAAAAAAAAGAAAAAATCAAAAGTATAACACATAGTTTTCTCGGTGTTGCTGCAAAACGCGCAATGCAAGAGAAAATATTCTTCTCTTCCAATTTATATACTTTAACAATAACCCTAAACATTATAAAAAATGATTTACGTTCATTCTTGAGTTTAGAAAATTTCTCGAAAGTTCATGATGACGTTTATCGTATAACAAACAAAAAAAAAACAAGAAAACATTTTTTCAATTATAAAAAACTATTACAATCCACATTTTAAAGTGTCCAGATTCAAATTGTCTTGTCGTCGCCGTGTTCAAATAAAAAGAAAAAAAAAGTAAAGACTTTTTCAAAACAAATCTGGATCGAAGAAAAATGCGTCTGTCAGAAACGTCTGTTATATTGTTTAGGGTTTTACGTTAAGAGACTGTCGCTTAATGTCGCTGCGAAAAATAGCAGAATTCGCTATCGGCGATATGAAACGCAGTTCTCCTTTCAATTTTATAGAATAAAGGATCTTTTTCGATATCGACTCGATATTTTCGATCCGCCATCGAGATCACACAATTACGATCGCGCTTTCAACAATGTTTCTCGCTCGCCTGTTCCTCGATGAAGGTATAAACTGTTGAAGAAAAATATTAAAAATCTGTATACGGATAATTTTCTATCAAGTCTTCTATACTCGACGGCGGAGAATTGCGCGCCGCGCTTGCAAGTTGCTCGGCAAAAAATAAAAGCTTCTCGTCACAATCATCGTGAACGGATTCTGTTCGTTTGTTGCCCGCTTACTTCACGGAAAACTGCGCACTGTAGCTCGTGCACATATACGCGCGATGCATTTGTACCTCGAAATTAAGAGAGACATAAAGACCCACGAGAATAGCGGAATATTTTTTTTCTCTATAGATTGAATTTTTACTCCTTAATCTAGAAGAGACATTAAAAGAGAATCAATTGTTATTAACTTTTATTTTCAAGGAATTCATAGAAAAGATGATGTAATTATTCAGGATAGGAAAGATTGATAGATTTGGTGACTTTTTTGAAAATTGAGAAAAACTTCTCTATAATAATCTCTCACTAGTTCAAGGAGCATTGTTATTTTTCATTCAATGATTCTGCATTTGTAACTTGCTCAAAGTAAAAATGCTCGCGAACATATGCATGATATATCGAATTAGTTTACTAGCTAAATGTAAATACTTCTAAAACATACCTTTGCTTCATCAAGTCTTGCTAATGCTTTCAAAAGATTACCAAGATCACTCCGCACACAATAAAGATCCTGAAACAGGTGAAATATGTAAATTATTTCCGTATGTGACTCATCTTGCTTAAAATAAAAGATTTAATATAATAAAACATTAATTTATTAAACTAGAAATAAATGCGATTTTTTAAGAGAGTCCAAAGAATGTAATTTAATGTTATTAGTGTAATAATTAATGTTATTGATAATATAATGTAAAATAATGTTATTAGTGTAATAATTTTAGTACACGGAGAAAATTTTATATTAATTTGTAATATAATTTTAAATTATATTTTACTATTTTTTGCATTATTGGTGGATCATCATGACTTTATAGAATAAATTAAAGTATAACATAGCAAAACTTAAAACCAACATTCATCTAATATATTTTATCATTTGCCTTAGTAAAAATTCGTAGGTATAAAAAGTTATCTTTATTATGTATCATTTAAAGTATTATAATATGTTAAACCTCTTTTTTTACTATATTTAAATGTATCTATACTTATTATATCTATTGTCGTTGACGTCGTTTACTGAATTTCGGTTTTTGTTTAGAAGTGCGTGAAAAGTGACATACAAAAAGAACACGTAAGTCAAAATCAGTTCTTTATAATATAGATGATATAGATGCATTAAATAAAAATTTCATCTGAATATGAAGATTCTAATCAAACAAAGGTAACTAAATTTATATTATTAAAATTATTAAAACTAAAATATTGTTTAATTTCTTTTCGTAAAATGCATTATTTCTTTTCTGTAATTCTTATAACGTTTGGTCTGATAAATCAAGTAATGTTTCATAAATTATTAATTATTTTTTATTTATTGATTTACCAGACCAAACGTTATAACAATTACAGAAAAGAAATAATGTATTTTACAAAAAGAAATTAAACAATATTTTAGTTTTAATAATTCTAATAATATAAATTTAGTTACCTTTGTTTGATTAGAATCTCCATATCTTCAGATGACATTTTTATTTAATGCATCTATATCATCTATATTATAATAGAACTGATTTTGACTTATGTGTTCTTTTTGTATGTCACTTTTCACGCACTTCTAAACAAAAACCGAAATTCAATAAACGACGTCAGCTTCCTCGAGCTTCGAACTGTTGAAACGTACTGCGAACTTGTAAACGCGTTCGCTCTTGTGTTACCGAGGCCCGCTTGACAACACCGCTATTATACACAGTTTGATACTATTAAAATTATTTCGATATAACTTTTACTATGGCAATATCACTTTTTATCATACTAATAAAGTAATTTTAGCGAAACCGCCGCTAAAACTATATTATAAAGTGAAAAGACTAAATTTTTGCTATGTTGTATAGTTACAATTTATTTAGTGTATATTTTTATCTTTCTTTGCAATACTAACATTCATTCAGAAAATTTCTACTTTGTAATATACAAATTTTATTATGAGGAAAAGTAAAAATTGCTTTGCTTCATTGTTTTTAAAATAATGACTATAGCATTTAGACTTATAAAGTCTTGATGGTCCGCAGCTACTGTGACATTATAGTAATATTCAATATAAAATTTTCTCTGTGTATATAAAGAATATAAAATTTTGCAACTTAAATCTTATATAAACAAGAACTTTTGTTTTTTCTTTTAGTTTTCAAATACTTTTTTGGATGTTTTGAGTCTTATTAAGTAACATTTAAACTCTGTAATGTGTCGTAATGTCGAATTTCTCACGGGATTGTATTGTAGCGCTGTAACGTATGCTTGGACGGCCTGTTCCATATCACCAGCTGCAACGAGTGCCGCAGCCAGGTTGATATAACCATCAATAAAATCAGGTTTCAATCTGACAGCATGACGATAGTTCTCCAATGCTTCCTGCAGTTGTCCGCGCTCTTTATAAACATTTCCCAAATTGCTGTATGCTTCTGCCAACAATGGATTTTGTTTTATCGCTAAGCTGCTGTAATGTGCTGATCTGAAATACAAAGTAACATATTTTTACTTCACATATCTAAAAAATTGTATATATATATATATATATATATAAAAATATATAAATTTGCTAATTTCATCTTGTTATAACCTTAATTTCAAATGTAAACTAAATATAACAAGAGATTACATACTTCTCTAATCTTCTACATTGGAAATGTATCGAAGAGAGCAAAAGAAGAACACCAGTATTGTTTGTTTCCTGTCGCCATAGTTGCATGCAGTGTCTTTCAGCATTTTCATAGTCCCCTGCTTGATATTCTCTGTGAGCAAGTTCCAGCAACCCTAAAATAAAAATTGTAACGCATAAGGTTTTTCATGAGTGATATTTTATTCATGTTGAATTTAAATTCAATAGAAGCATAAGATATATTTCTACACTTGAATTATATTACATATATTTTTCATTCATTTTGTTTAATCCTTAGACTGCCAGTATTTTTTCATTAAAATCAAGGTTTTTTCTCAAAAAATTATCTATATAAGTAACATACACATTGTGCAGAATTTCAAGATTTGTACAGAGCCACAAAAGTGCCTTTCCAGCAGGGAACGGACGATCCAATAAAAAAACTTTTTTTCCAAAAATAAGTGTATCTATGGGTTTTTGGTATCGCTGATTCCAATTATGAGCATAGATTTATGAAATTTTGAGACTAAAAATAATAATGACACCATGTTTGAATATAAACTAAATATAAAACTGTATATCAATTTTTTTTGGAACAGATGAGCTTGCGCAGACATCAGAGTATCAGTCACACATTGCATAGGTTACATACATACGTGTATATATTAATATATTTAGCAATAGAGATTTTTAATTTATTAGCATCTTTAAGAGCCACAAAAGTGGCTTTCCTGGCAGTTTAAGGATTAATATCATAGACATTAGTGTATGTTTTCCTCATTTTTCTTTTTCAGTTATGGCTTACCATATTGTAACCAAAAGGAAAGCAATGTAAAAATTAGAGAAATTAAACAAACAAAATTTAAGGAACCTAAATTAAGTTATAAATATTGAAGAGACTAAAAAATTTGGAGAAACTCAAAAATATATTGAATCATAACATGTATATCAATCTTTTTTAAACCCTAAGTAAATTTTCGAATTATAGATCAAAGTCACAAAAATGTGGCAAACAAGTATATTAAATCAAGTTGCGATAATTATTAATTCACGCTCAATCACGAGGTTTGAGCGAACAAATAATTCCCTCGATCACAATTTTATTTATTATGACCAATTAACCTCGTGGCACATCATTTCTCTTAATGAAGAAGTAAATAAAAAAAATATACGAACAATAAGTGTCTGTGTTAACAATCTGATTATTATCAGACAGAGTGATCAGCTCCTTGCCATGCATGTTCTGTGCCACCAGCAAAATATTCTGTTCATCTTGCCAATCATCGTCCCCATTTTGCGGAATCAACCCATTAGGGCCTTTCAACGAGTTGCTCTTCTCTGTGTACACGTGTACACTCATCTTTGGCGATACAGATGTATGTATATCAAGGTCACGATATCAAAGTGCCAAAAATTCTCAATTTCGAAAGAAATCTTCCTCGACCTCACTTCTTTCAATTCGCTCGCACCTAATCTCGGCGAATATTCCAGATAGTTCTAAATCAGTTTTTGACCTGTCGACCTTCTATGCTCGTTTATACCCCTCATTCCGATTCTTGATCTGCGCACAGACGCACTGCGCATACATTCTGTGTCCTAGCTCATTCTCTATCCCTCTCTGTCTCTCTTTCATTCCTAACAGCGCGATGGACGAGCTGATTGGTCAACGACGTAGCGTCAGATTGAAGCGAAGAGTGGTCGAAGCGGATAATTTCAGGAGCGTATATATTAAGTGTTGCTGCACGTGCGTTTTTCTACACTGTATGCAGTGTTTGCTGTTATCTAATTGTAAGTAAAATTATATAAACGGTGTTTGCTGTTGATGATCATCTAGATAAAATTTTGGCATCATCTTAGCTTTATATATAGGGTGTCCGGTAACTCGCGCTCCACCCGTCAGATGCAGATAGATCAGGTCAAATTGAATAAAAAAGTCCCTTTACAGTTTTGCGATTTTCTCAATAATAATAAAGGAAAAAGTTAAATAATAATAATAAGAATATTTTTAAGTCAGCTCTCCAATTTTTAAACCACCATATTCATCTCGACTAAAGAGCCAAACGCGATGTTATTGCGACAGATTAAGATAAGAAAATTTGGAAACTAAGGAATTTGAATCCTATGGTTGGGATCTCAGAAATTCCCCTTGTTCCTTCTCTTAACATCCCCTGTAAAGAAATAGACGAGAAAAATATTGGTCCGAAAGTCGGCTGAATCGGGAAACGAAAATTAAATAATAAAGTTTGGACAATCCACGCGAGTGATAGCGCGAGGCGAGAAGAGACAGCCCATTCAAAGGTCCAGTTTTATGCATGTTATTAGGGTCGTTTGATCGTTTCGTATATGAGCACGCAATATTTTTAGATCAAAAAAGTTGTATTACCATGAAAAATAAAACACAATTCGGCGATTTTAATTGAAATATTTTATGGAGTTAAACCACCTCCAAACATGATTAAAATTATACAAAAATTCATTAAAGAAAGTAAAATTTGAGTAAAAAATCTAAAAAAATACGTTTCATATTAGTCCTAAAACAAGTTGACATATTTTTACATTTTTCCAGAAAATCATGTTTTAGAGAACAACTACCCTTATGAATACAGTTGAATCTCTCTAAAACAAAATCACGTACGTGATTATTAATTTTCATAGCGTTTTTTACAAAAAAATAGTGGATTATTTACAATAAAATAATAAATTTATCTCGATTATTTAAATACAATACTTAAAAAAAAACTTTTTCTATTGAAAAAATTAAATTTATCTAAATATTTTTTAGATTTTCTTTTCAATAATTAAATTATTAAAATTTTTTGTTAAATAAAATATATTTTTATAATTTTACATAAAATTATAATCACACGATGCAAAAATATGATTGTTTAAGTTTAACAGAACATATTTTTTAAAATTTTTGAGTCAACTTTTTGAAAATAAAATCTTATTTGAAAAATTGTAAAATATTTTTAATTTTTATTTTTTCGTGTAAAAGTATGTTTAAGAAACATTATATATATATAATTTTTTAATGTATTAATTGTTATGGTATATTCCATTTTAAAAAATTTAAATAATTTCAAATTTCGAAAGCAAATGAGAATAAAATTATATTATTGATTGTAAGCCGTCTTTTTAATAACAAAGAATAAATTTATAAGACCTTATATATACATTTTTAAGCTAATAATAAGCATTATAATACATTTTAATTATTTGATTATCTTTTCAGATAGTCACATAAAAATATCCTGTATTTATTTATATAACAAATGCTATTTCAGAAGCATATATATGTATAACAATATTACCAATGTTTTTTTATGATAAAAACTGACATTGAGATTATATATTAATTGCGAAACCCGAGATGACTGTACTGATCATAATATACTTAATAACTTTTTTTCTTATTTAATTAAAGCTAAATGATCATGGAAAATTAAAATCCACAACATTTGCTTTCGGAATTTGAAAATTATCTTTTTTTTTTTTTTATAGAATATACCATAGTAATTTATACATTAAAAAATTAAAGATGTTTCTTAAGCAAAATTCTACGTGGAAAAATAAAGATTAAAAATATTTTATATATAAAAATTTTTCATATAAGATTTTATTTTCGAAAAAAATGACTTAAAAGCTAAAAGACCATGGAAAATTACACTAATTTTAATTTTAATCGATCACATTTGTGAAAATATCCTGAAATAACGTTCGTGCTCATTCTCTGCTAATTTCTGCATACGTCCCTGTTCTACGAGAGAACTACAGATAGAGAAACTATAAACGAGAAAGAGAGAGGGAAACAGAAGAGTGTTTCCCCGCTTAGTGTAGATGGCAGATGGAATAGATATTGAAGTGGAATATTATATCACGTTCACAACGAAAGAAAGGGAAGCAGAAGGGAGGGAGATATCCGCTATTATGAGGAAGGGACAGCAAAAAGCATATCGACGACATGTTTTTTACCTGTGAATGTTTCATGAGATAAAAAACTAAAAAAATATTTTTCTACATCAAATGATATACATATATATTGAAGTCTGCTGATGCTAACGGCTATCTGATCTGAAATTTTATGTTACTTCATGTTTCAGAAAAATATACAAAAAAAAAATGCAGAATTATAATTCAATTTATTTAATCTATAAAAGCGAAATCTCGGGATAAATTTTCGTAATTAAATTTCGAATTATATATTTATATCACCTCTCTTTAAATTTATATTATAATTACACCTCGTTACCGTCACAGATAAAAAAATTCGAGAAACGTTAGATTTATAAAATATTAAATTTTTTCTCAATTATTAACGATTATTCATTCATTTTGCACCTGTCCTTTTGTACGTTTCCTACACGCATGCATGATGCGCATACACACACACACACACACACACACACACCACGCGCGCGCGCATGTACATATGTATATACATATACATAGGTATATATGTATACATATATCCATATATAAAATACATAAAAATGATAAAAATACAAGAAATGCAATAAAAAGCAAAACTTGCTCCAAATGTAAGGAAAAAGGACGAGTACGAAGGATCGAGCGATGCAGGTGATGCATATAGGTTATTAAATAAGGAGCGGAGCAGCTCGAGGCGGATTTCGAGGGGCTGGTGAGAGAAAAAGATAAGGCGCGAAAAAAAAGTCTAGTCGTACCGACGGTCGACAGCTGCTGAATCTCGTTCATTTTCAGTATCACGTTGGTGCCCGTTATCTGCTGGTGGCCCTGCTGCTGCTGCTGTTGCGTTTGCTGTTGCGCTTGCATGGCTGCGTCCGCGACGAGCGAGGTCTGCCTGTACGAACGAAATGGAACGGACGGACGATGCGGAAGAGCACGAGCGCGACGCGACGACTTTGACAACTGACGCGCCTCCCGATCGCGTATAAACTCGTCCGAGAGAACTCGCGACCGCGTCCGAGTCGATTTCTCCGAGATAAATGACGGATCCCCGGGTTCGAACGATTTGACTTTCGCTGTGCACGGTAATGCAATTTTCACACGCGCGCCATCATGAAAGCCTTCGGCGGAGCGCCGGAAATTCGAGAGTCACGTTCGGCCGTCTTCGGGTAGAGTCGTGTCGCGAGTATTCGGCAGGCAGCAGCGGCAACAAAGCGGAGACAGAGGTGAAAAAGGAGAGCAGTGCTGTAACTATATAGTCTGGCGTTGTGCGAGTTCGACATTTATTTGCGTCTCTCGTTATTGTTCATTTTATATCAGATTGATGTTAGAATAGACAGATCAAACCGAGTAAAAAACTCTTATACCGTTTTGCGAAATTTTTAATAATAACGAAAATTAATAGTATAATAGTGCAGATAGAATAACATATAATTAAAACTCATATAATGACCTCTTGATAATACGTGTGTTACTTAAAATTCATTTTGGAAAAAAATTGTATATATTATACAATTATTTATTTATTTATTCTATTGTTCAAACGCCCAGGTAATACATGATTATTGTTTCAAAAATATGTTTCCTAAACATATCTAAAATTATTTGTTAATCGTTATTTAAGCATCCAATAAAAAACGTCTCGACTAAAACGTTATTTTTAAAACTATAATTTAAGAAACGTTTTTTTCACGTTTAAATTATATCTTTACAGCACAAAATATTGCAAATAAAATTAATATTTCAAAATATATTGAGCTACATTACAAATATTGCAGCAATATACAAATATTATAAGTCAATATATATTTTATTTGAGACATTGCAAAATATTACTGCTATGTATAGTATAATAATGCAATCACATATATATAGTTCCTTCATTTACGTTGAGCTATCTATCTCGCAGAGATTTTAGTCACGAGAATTATATAAAGCATATGCAAAAAGTAGCTATATATATATATATATTACAATCAATTATTTTTATCAGTTTAATTTTTTTGATACAATTTTAACAGATAATTCAAATATTAAACTGATTATTCAAACATCGAACAAATAATAAATATCCAAATAAATGAAGAAAATAAAAAAGAAGAAATATTTTATCAATGTTACATTAACGTTGCAGAAAATATATCAGCGTTGCAAAAATTATTGCTGAATATGATTTAGAAGCGGATATATCTATATTATTGCAAATTCAATAAAGTATAAAACGGTAAAAAATGATATTTTGACCGTTTCTTAAACTCAGAAGTAAAGGTTTCTCTTAACATTTTTCGAGTGGACATTTTAACTAATAAAAAAACGGTTTCGAGAGTCGGTTATGAAACGTTATTATATAGGCTTTAAATCTATATATGATTCCTTTTGTCATCTTTAAATTATGTTTTTATAACTAAAAGTTAAATTAAATTAATATATATTAATATGAGGCAAATTGAAGGATGCAGAAAAAGAAAAAATGTACAAAAATAATTTTTTAGATAAAATTAAAGTTCATTAAAAAGAAATAGACAATAAATTGATCGGATATAAAACTAAAATAAGTACTATGAAATATCTTATTATTATAATAGTGAGACACATTTTAAAAAAAGATTATTTTGTGACACATTTCATGATTTTAGGACATTCTTGGGAAAAGGAAATCGTGATGAAGGTCGCCAAGTTTTAGTAAAAGCTAATCGATGCGAAATACTCTCGACGATGTCACATCACGTGACATACTGACAGTAACGTTCGAAACATATATTTCCACAATGACGCTATAATTGTAAGAGATCTTTAAAATTGGAACATCGATATTTGTACTCGTTTTATGCCGAAAGCTTATTCGATAATAAAACTGTTTATATAATTATTTTATTAAAATTATAATCGAGAAATTTTTTTATTAAATAATATATACAAGTCATAAGCACTAATATGTTTTATACGTGCAATTTGGTTAATACGTGTATATTTTTATGATTTGAAGGGATCTTTGCTTTTCTATTAATTCTATCATACACCACGATCATCCTGTGTTCGCTCCGACATTTTGAAATTTGACCGGCCGGCAGATACGATCGACGAACCGTCACGTCACGACGCGTTCTTCCCCCACTTTTGCCAGATTTCTCGTCTCGCGGCTTCGCGTCATCGGGTCATCTCGTTCTCGGTCATTCGCAGCTAGTCGGCACCGCATGGTTGTGTGTTCTATCTCTGCCTTGTTACAAATTATTTGCAAATTAATTATGGCAGAAAACAAGGAGCGCACCTTCATTATGGTCAAGCCAGACGGCGTACAACGCGGTCTGGTTGGCAAAATTATCCAGCGGTTTGAGGACAAAGGCTTTAAACTGGTGGCTATGAAAATGCTGTGGGTAAGTAATGTGCTCACGTAATTTTATTACAACATTGTGTTTTACTGAAACTTATTGACGAAGAGTTATTAGCATGAGCACACCACGTGGTCTCTCCATGATTAACTCCTTTAATGATATTAACTGGCTGTTCAATATGCTATTGGAGGTTCAGAGTTGTAATTACTCGTATTTTTTGGTTCGAGTAATTATGTAAAAAATTGAATGCCAACAAAGCAAATTCCATCAGTGAATGGAAGTACTCGATGTAATCTGCTTTGTACGAGCTTAATTCATAATAGCCATAATTAATATAAAACATTAATTCAATTGTTTTAAGCATCAGTAGCAGCTAAAATTGTTTTTGTTTAATCAATCAAGTTAAGTACAGTATTGATTTGTAATTAAGAAACAAATCGAATTAGCACTTTTTTAAGGTTAGAAATCCCGTCGACCTAACCGTGTGACGATGAACGTGGCGCGAAATTTGAAATACGAATTATACTCGTATCTAACGTAACTTCTAATTATCTTGAAAATATGATAAAATTGTAATCGTAAAATAATAAAATAAAATACTTATAATTAATAATTACATTTCTGTAATTTATACATATATACATATTTTCTAATTTGTAAGTATATTTTCTAATTTACATTATAGCCAACCGAGGAGCTTTTAAAGAAACATTACGCCGATCTAGCATCGAGACCCTTTTTCCCAGGTTTGATCTCATACATGAGTTCGGGACCAGTTGTGCCAATGGTAAATTATTATTATGCAATAAAATAATGCTATAAATAGTTATAGTTTCTTAAGATAAATATACTGATCAAAACTAAATATTTATCTATTTTATTTCTTAACAAAATTATTGCTTTTAGGTTTGGGAAGGTTTGAATGTTGTAAAGACTGGTCGCGTGATGCTGGGTGAGACAAATCCAAAAGACTCCGCACCTGGCACAATCCGCGGCGATTTTTGCATACAAGTTGGTCGGAATATTATCCATGGTTCCGACGCTGTGGAATCAGCCAAAAAGGAGATCAGTCTATGGTTTGGCGAGAAGGAAGTGATCGACTGGACGCGCGCATCCGAGAAGTGGATCTATGAATAAAGATTTCTGATGAAATATTTTTCCAGAAGATACCATCTTTCTATAAAGCCTTTAGATAATTTTTCCAAACCTATACTACTGCCAGCCAAATTATATCTAAATAATTCCAATTATTCATGGACCGAGAATAAAATAATGAAGAAAAATGATTTTTGTTTGTATAAAATAAATAAAATTGTGAAACTATCAAGAATTTTTTGGAATAACTATAAAAATAGAGTTAAAGTATCTTTCTATTCTTTTTATTCTACATTATTAAAAAGTTTTATATGATTCTCTATAATAGAATATACCCTTAAAAACAGATCAATTTTAAGTTAAATTTCCCTCCCTTTAAAAATTAAAAGAAATAATTATAATCTGATTTGAGAAAATATTTTTACTATTAAATAATTTTGTAAGACTCCCCCCTCCCCTCCATTATTGATTTTATGATCCATTAGTAAAACAGACAATTCATCCAATTCCTCAGTTGTTATAAGTTTCAACACCATGAAAGATACAACGGGGTATCGATTCTGTAACTTTCTAAAGTGAAAACGTGAAAAGTAAAAAATTTCCGCCAATTGCACATCGATTTTATTTTAAAATTAATGCGTGATTGGCAGAAATTTTTCACATTTTTACTTTAGAAAAAGTTACAGAATCGATACCCAGGTATAAATTTTGTATCAATATAATAATAGATTATAAAATATTTTATTATATTCGTGAATAAAGAGCAAAATACATATTATTGAATTATTATTTATTAGATACATCTGCTTTTCACATCCCTCCCTTTTTTTTATAAAAAAGGTATATGTTAAGTCGATTCTCGAATGTATCGCAGTGCACTCGCATGTATCGAAGACCTCTCGAAAGTATCGAAGATTATTATTGTTGCCTTTTCCGCGATCCGCGATGCCGATTGGTTCTGTAGTTGCGATTACTTCGTGAGCGGCAGTAATTGCATATTTTGATAGTATTAGGAAATTTTTAAACAATTATTTTGCTCAAAAACTCGTAATTTCGAATAATTTTGCGATTAAATTTTAATAGAGATAGTAACATTTTGAAACAACATAAATTGGAATACTTATTTAATTACAATATTCACATTTCGTTGCTAAAATATTTTAAGTGCAATATGTTATAACATATATATGTACATGGAATATTAAATTGAATTATTTATATATTCGTGTTATATTCTTATTAGCATTGAGCGACTATCATCACGAGGGTTAACATGCAGTTTGACAGTTATTCAAAATTAAGTAAAATTAAATAAAGTCATTATAAAGAAGAACAGACAATATGGCATGCGTTTTTATTGGTCTAGTCTAAAATCTTAGAAAAACAAAAGCTATATCTAAGAAAATAATAAATAGAGGATAACAGTACACTGTTGAAGATGAATGAATAAAGATAAATTAAAAATGTTATGCATTTCTTTTATATATTTTTGTAAATTTTTATTATTTTTGTACAGAAAATTTTTTATACCATATGAAAAAAATATTCTGTAAAATCGATTGTATTAAATGTGTAATATTTTTTATATTTTTACGTTTGCGGAGCAAAATTATATAATAGATATTTCAATGAAATATTGCAAACAATATAAAAAATTTAATTATCTACAATTTACATACAATTAAAATATATATAATTTTTTCTATTTATATGTTTATAAAAAATAACTCTGCAAATAAAATATAACTGCTATGGAGTAACACACATGTGTTATTTTTCCAATGAGAAATATGATGGCCGAATCGACGTCGGTTCATCGTCGAATCGATATCAAATTGATCGAATCGACCAATCATTCTCGCTGGGTTGTTATATAACAAGTGTTTTTTATGTTTCATTTATATTATAATTGAATAATTATTTTATATAATTGTTTTAAAACTTATATATATGTATATATATATATACTTATATTGATATTATTTACTGATATTATAACAAGATAATATTAAGTTGAAACAATTTGCATAGTTTTTCTTGCATGCAATAATAATCATAAATGTACGCGTTAAATTATGTACGTGTGTTTTTTCTGTTAGTACATATTATATAACAAATCTGTTTGCTAGGAAGAAATAGGAATTATCAGGGTTGAGTAATAACTAGTTAATTATTAGTTAAAAGTTAAAAAAAGTTAAAAAATTATTAATACTTTTAACTTAGCTTAGTTAATTTAAAATGTATTAAATTTTTAACTTTAACTATAGTTATTTTTGACCTTAAACTTATTAACTTTTTTTCTAACAATAAGTTAATTTTTTTATGTCTGAATATCATTATTGTTTTTTTTATAAGTTATAAACGTATTATTCTTAAATTAAGGTATTATTAATTTTTATGTTCATTTATCATCAATTATTGTATAATTATCAAAAAATATATATTTCCGTATAAAAATCAAAATTATTTCTTTGTTATTTGTTATTATAAATTTTAAAAGAATTAACAAACAAAATTCTAAAGTTAATTCCCTTTAGTTAATTTAATATTAACTTAACTTCAACGGAGTTAATTGTTTGTTCATGCAACTTTCAACTTAACTAAATTAATTTTATAAGCAACTAACTTTAACTTAATAAACTTTTTACGTAATATTTAATTAATTCATTAGTTTAAAAAAATTATTAACTTACCCAACCCTGGGAATTATATATAACTTGTTTTAGCACAACATGTATATCTGTGTATAAAATCAAAATTTTATTTTTATTTAATTTTAATTTAAAAATAATTAAATAAATCAATATTTTAACTCGAATTATATTTACATATATATATATATGTATGTATGTATAGTATGTATGTATGTATATGGTAAAAGTGAGATATTAAGGGTCGGCAGTACACCCAGGCAAACTCCGAATTGATATTGGAGACCTCGTGCGGTGACAACGCGAAACTCCGGTTTCAGTGTTGCCAACGCCGAGAAACCAATTCTCGGGTTTTATGTAGTGGTGTATGTCTGTACACGTACATACACCACTGCATCGCTCACGCGGACGCACGTAAGAGAGACAAGGACCGATAATCACGTGTTCTCCTTGTTCCTCTACCGTGCCGGTATACGCGAGATGCCGCCTAAAAATGCTTTCTGGCCTTCCGTAGCAGAAAGCAGTAACGTAGCAAGACTAATAAGCACCCATTTTTGTAAATTTTATATATGCTTATGCACATATGTGGATATATTATTTATATATAAATATATATATATATAAAATATACTAATTTACTCTCAATTATATATGCTACTGTTATTATTTATCATTAGACAATTATAAAACAGAGGTTATAGATTTGGTCTGACTACACTGGCCTCAAATTAAAGTTGTATATATATTTATTTTAACGTTTCGACCATACGGGATGTGGTCCTTTTCAAAAATACAGATTGGAATATCAGAGAGTTACAGCATTTCGTCTTTAAGATGTAAGCGCAAATTATGATTCGGAGAGATTTAACTTGTCAAATAATAAAATATAAAATAAATTATAAAACATATACATATATATAATTTGTAGTGCTATATATATATGTTTTATAATTGTCTAATGATAAATAATAACAGTAGCATAATTGAAAGTAAATTAGTCTACAATGTTAGACACGGGTACTTGTTAGATTTGATAATTTATTGCTTATACTTTTTTGAGAGACAAGAATAAGAGAACGAATATAAATTATTATTAGCTTGTATAGCAATCATAGATTGACGAATATACGTTGGTTATTCTTGATTTCTTTTCTATTATTGATATTATTGTATAATTTGCTCTATAAATACTTATAACATAAAAGAACTTATGTCGAGTAATAAGGATGTTCAGTATGTATCACCCAGTAAATTATTAGAGTTCAAATATATCAATATCAATTTTTTAATAATATATTGGAATACAGAGAAATGATAAAAAAATATATTTCGGCAATAAAAATTTTATAAATATATTGAAAATATTTTTACTACACGCGCGCGTGCACACACACACACACACACACACACACACACACACACATACACACTATATAAATGCAAAATAATACAGAAAATAAATTTTTAATAAAAATCAACATACCAGCTATTTGTGTGTGCATATGTAGCTGCAAGCATGCAACGGATTTATTACTTGATAAATTTATTTACGGACTTATTTTGCATTTATATATATATATATATATATAGTGTATGTAATTGTAAAAATGATTAAAATATTTTCAATATTTAAAAATTTTCAAGTTTATCGCCTTATATTTCTATAATTTTTCTATATTCTAATATATTGTAAAAAAATTGATATTGATATATTTGAACTCAAGTTTTTTACGTGATTGAATATTATTGCATTGAGCCATCATACGTTACTCGTAAGTTCTTTTACGTTATAATAGTGTTTATGTAGCAGAGAGAAAGAGATAAGAGAGAGATTATACAATATAACTTCAATAATCGAAAAAAATCACGATAACGCTATTGTCATATCTATGTGTGTGCATATATATAAACTTATATATTATATATTTTATAAATAAGTAAAATATTATGCAGACAATGTATACAATATAAAATGTTCAGTTTGTGCTATGCTTCAATCAATAACACTGGTCGACAAAAAATGACTTTTTTCAGGTTCGAAGATTTCCAAAGCGTATTTTTGTAGATTTTTTTCATGCCGATTACAAATTCGACCGCAAAAATTGCGTATCACGTCACGTTTTTTAGATATCTTGATCTAAAGATGCAAAAATTCGTTCAACGCATTAGTGTTTGTGTCTACATGGATGTTACTACATATGCGATGTAAGAGAGACAAGGACAGAATGATAGTCTCTCTTTGTCAAGCTGTTAGCTGTCAGTATGTTACCACGGAAATTTCCCCTGCTCCTTATGAATCTAGTGAGAATCTTATCGTCCAGATATTTCATAAAATAAGTGACATAACTTTGGTTTTTTTTTTTTTAATATATTCTTGATATAATAAAGTAGTCCGCCAAAGAGTCGGATTTTGCATTTTTGCTCTAAAAAATTTATAATAAATAAAATACGGACTCCTGGCTAACCCAACCTTACCCGTTACTAGCTGCGCATTCCTTCAAGTTATATTATAAATTTTATTTTCATCTTTTTTTCAATAAATAACTCTTTGGCGGACTGCATTTGAGCTTACTGATTAAGAATATCATAAATTTAATAAGATTCATTCAGTAGTTTCGCTAATATCTGGAATATAAGAATCTCTAATTCCCGGCCGGCCGATAGGCGTCTCCACCATGTCGCCTGCCGACCCTTAAACTATTTTTTTTTTTCGTTGTCATAAACCTTGATCGATGATATGATAATGCCGTAATATCTCTTCGTATTCTCTTATCGCAGCTTGAAGTGGATTAATTTTCAGACGATCCGAGATAATTGCCGCATGCCGGACAATAATGTTTCTTTACCATACAGCTATCCATGCAATAAGGACATGGTGCGCAACACCAACATCTGGAAAAAAGATTTCAGATTTAATTTTCTACTCTCTAAATAAAAAGATCTGTTATTAATATATACGAACGCAAAACTCTCTTACCCCAGAACACAAAGAAGTAACGCGAACAAGTGCGTTTTTGTGTTCGCTTCCGTTTCTATACGTGTGGATATGCTAGCACGGCAGTATGGACAAGTCATATGTTGCGATTCTGGGCCAAAGACCGCGCCCGTTATAACAACATCTATATTTAATCAAACTATATTAGGTTTCACAAGATTTATTAATCTCGAATTTCTCTTTTATTTATTTTTTATTTTAAATGTGGATGGTACAAGAACATTGATTGTAAAAATGGTATTAATTGCGGGGTATATATGTTTATACTAAAATCATTCGATTTCAATCATTCTTACAAAAACAAAACGTTTCTGATATTTATATATACAGAGTGTCCGGTAACTAACGGACCAATGATTAAGGGCGGATTCTCTGGCCAATTTGGAGACGATTTTTCCTTAGCGAAAATGTTGAGAAGTCAATAATTTTCGAGTTATAAGCGATTAAAAAATGGGGTTTTTGAAAACTAAACGTTTTGGAGTTAAAAGTCTAACATAATTACATTCTTCAGTTAATTTCAGGTAGAGTTTATTATAATAAAATTTTAATGTGAGGCTTAGTTATAAAGATACATAATGATAAATATTGGAAAGTTGTAAAAAATGATGACCTTTTTCGACATTTTTGCTGAGGAAAAATCGTTCCCAAATTGATCAAAGAATCCATTTGTAATCGTTGGTCCGTTAGTTACCGGACACCCTGTATATATGAATTTAGAGAGGGCCGAAAACCGGCCTTATGCGGATCGCAATCAATGTCATTTTCTATTCAAACTTGAAAATTTATTTTTAACATTTTATTTACTTGGTTGTTGCGGAGGCGGAGGTGGCGGCTGCGGATAAGGATATGGCGGTGATGTGTTAAAAGCAGGCGGTGGCTGATGGTGCGGATCCATTTTTTGCTCCATGGACAACTATCTAAATGCAAAATATAAAAAGAAATTATTTTACGTAAGATATCGAGTATCGTCTATACTAAAGAAAAACGGAATTCGCAAAACAAAAATGGGTGCAATAAATCATCGTTTGCAATAAATGACAATTATAAATGAATTTATTATTTAGTACTAGTTTCTATATTTAGATTTGTGACATAATGAGATACTTAAAGTTGTAAAAATGTTGTTTTATTTCATTTCTTTTTTTTTTATTATATTAAAATAAATTCATATATTTGTCAAGTAATTTATTGCAACCAATTTGTCGTATCCATTTTTCTTGCAAATTCAAATAAGGCATTTACTCCTTTGCCCCTTGAAATTTTATGTGCTACTAACAAAAACTAGGGAACATTTTTTATACTTTAAAAATTAGACTATTTTCGAATCATTGAAACTTGGCGATAAATCATCCTAGACTAAAAATTTAAACAGCATTTTGAAGCTTGAAGTTTTAACTGTAATGCGGAATTGGTGATTACCAAAAATTTTTTTATTTTCCTTATTCTGTGCTTTAAAAAGCATACAATTATTTTGTTCTTAAAATTACGTATTTTTAACATTCTGCAGTTCGATACAAAATTACTTTTGAAAAATTTTACTCAAATTCCATAAGCTAGAACATTTTGCCTACAAAACACTGTTTTTTAAATTTTCCTACAAACCACACACTTTACACAATTTTGAAAGTGAAATTATATTTTTTAGATATGATACTCGGCGAAAAATCCTTGTGAACAAAAAATTAACAAAGCACTTTGAAGCTTGAATTATCACTTTTAACGTGCTATCAGTAATTAAACAAATTGTTAAAAGCTAATACAAATTTTGTACATTCTAATAATCTCGTCATAATCTCAATATTGATCACGATTCTACGTCTATTCTATTTTAAATTAAACCAAGTGCTTATAAGAATACATGTATAAAGTAAAGATAACATAATTTAAATTAAAGATAATATAAATTAAAAAAATAACATAATTAAAAAAAAATAAAAAATTACAATTAATTTGTATTTAATATTTTTCTAAAAAATATTTCTATAAACTAAAATATATTTAATAATAATATAATTATGATATTTAAATCGGCCAATAAAATATATTTATATGTACATATATTATATATTGACAAGTTATATTTTTTGCAGAGTATGTGTTTATTGAAGAGAATTTACTTATACATATAGTACAGTAATTAATCAACATCAATTCGACGACGATTGACGTCGTTTGAACGATGAATTGACGTCGATTCGACGAATTGATGTTGATTCGATATCATTTCTGGCTAGGATGTAATTAATGTAATAAATGTGATAAAATGTAGATTTACGATATATAATAATATTCAGAATATGTCTTCTAGGGATTGTATCAACACTTCTAGCAAATAGAGCAAGTTAATTATTTTTGTTTCTAACATAAAATTATAATAGGTCCCCGCTTTATTTGTTTCTATTTGTATTTTAATCATGGAAAAGCATGTATTATTCTATTCAACCAATAAAAAAGTGCACCAAAATGATCGTTTTGTCGGAAAAACAGGACCTTAAAATCTCCTTAAACTGAATAGAAAAGTGTCCGTTTTGCGATCTTTTTTAATTAATTTATCATTCATTATCGCAAAAATTGCAACATGGAGAAAATTTTATGTTCAGTTTACTCTGTTCAGTCTACTCACGAGCGTTAGCATAATTTTTATCGGACACTCTATACACTATATATACTATACTCGTTTTATCAGTGTACCCTTATCACAATTCGCGGGAATCTCGCAATATAATCTTTCTCGATAATATTTCATAATCTTCTTCCAATAATTTTACAACGCGTCAAATATTCTCAGTTAGATTTCAACGAAATAATAAATGATTAATATGAAAACGGCCGTCGAAAATGTGTATAAGAAATATTTGTTTCTTAATTTTAAAATACACCGCGTTATTAAAAAAATTCGCACTTTAAAATATTTTTCTTATTAGATTACTATACAAGGTAAAATCAAATTTCGAGTAATCGTCGTAATATCAGCAAACACATTTTATAACTATATTATAACAGTTACACATAACTCAATGTAACAAAATATAACAAGAAATATTATAAAACTTGTAACATGCAATACTCTCATTCCTTGTAATTTTCCACTCAAAGAAGGAGTAATGTTATATAATTATTATAAAAGGAAATTACTAGGCCAACTAAACGAGCTAAAAATTTTTTCTTCTTTATTATTAAATCATTTGCAAGTATAATTCGTGTGTAAACGTTTCGACTTCACTCAGGTCTTTTTCAATACAAAATTTAAACAAATTAAAAAACCTAATATAAAAACATGATATAAAAAATGTGATATAAAACATATGATGTGATATCGCAAATATTTCGATGAAGAATGCTATGTCAATTCCAAACTCAGTTGCCGCCAATACGAAAAAATATTCTAACATAATTTTATACAAGTTATTCATAAAAACCTTTTGCATAATTTCTCATTGATAGGCAAAGGAAAATCTGCACGAATTTCTCAAGATAATGACTCATAAAAAAACTTTAATAATCTTTTCCTTGTATAAAATTGTGTTAGAATATTTTTCTGTATTGGCGGTTGTGAGTTTGGAATTGACATAGCTTTCTCCATCGAAATATTTGCAATATCACACCATATGTTTTTATATCACATTTTTATATCATATGCTTTTATGTTAGTAATATTTTTGTTACATTAAGAACATAATGTAATAAAATCAAGATATATAACAGCTGTTATTTTAATTTTTTATTCCAATGTTATATGAATGTTATACTACGTATTTGCTAGTACATAGCAACAGTAAAGAGATGATATATAACAACTATATAATAAAGATATAACGCTGTTAGATTTATTTTTTACTTCAATGTTATATAACTGTTATAAGATGTGTTTATTCGGTACTTAATTTCTGTTTTTTTTTTTTAATAAAAAATGTAAATTAATATGTAGGAGCCGATCCTATATGTGACGTAAAATATGCACATGTATATCACATATATACGTGTGTGATAACACGTGATTCATATGTTTGTACCAATGCCATATCAATATATAACATATGTTGATAACAATTCGATTACGTCATCATTGTGCGATGCGTTTTCAAGAAGTGCTGCCATCGCTGTTGCATGAAAAAAGAACGTCACTAGTGTCTTTTATTTTTTCATATTTAAAAAAAATATAACATGCTTACTTAATATTTTAATATGATCGACTATCGTATCTCCTGGAATTATTACAATTGTTGAAATAATAATTTACATATTTACAAAAATGCAAGTACAGATATATACATATATATATATTAACTTTGTACTTTAAAAATCTTATCGTATGTTTTTGTAAAATTTAGTCACAAAATTTTTATGTCACAAAATGTTTTTGATTCGTAAAATAGAAGAATACGAAGAACACTATCGCGTCGATTGGTTTCGAATAAAAAAGTACTTGTCTTACATGTTTGGTTAACTATTGATTGAGTGTAGAACTAAGCTAAAGATGAGTGTATAAACTAAGATAAAGAATGTAGTACTTTGGTTTTTTTTCTCAGAGTCGCAAATTCGTAACACAATAACTCGATATTATATATATATATATTTTTCTTATCTTTATTCCCTTTCTTCTACGTCCATTATTATTTTATCTCTAAATTTATATCAGTTTATCTCTAAATTTATATTAGTTTATTCATACATATTTTATATATAATTTTTTATCTATCAAAATTATTCAAAATTTATAATATTTTTACACGTACATATCTGACATTAATAGATGAGAGTCAACTAATTAACACTTTATTTTATTTTATTTTACATTTCTCACTTTTTAATCGAAACTCATTAAAAAAAAGAATTTTTTATCTCAAAACTATGTTAAAAGTGATAATTGCCCATTTTAACAAAAGAAAAATAGACTTTAATCTTGATGTTTGTTGTAAACTATTATATCTTCATTTGTTCGAACAAGCCTATATAATTTTGTTTTTTTTAATTCCAAATAAATGTGAAGTTCAACTTTTAGTGTAAATAGTTTTGTGCACGCTTGTATTCAATGAAACTTCAAAACTGATTTTTAAAAAAATAAAGTTATAGTAAACAAATTTTACTTTACACATTTGACTTATATGTATAATATCAGGAATTACTTTTATTTTGTTTGTATCATTGTGATTTTAAATTCACACTTATTTAGATACACTTGGCTACGTACCAATATTCACTGCCAATACTAAAAATCTACATGACGTAAGTTATAGAATTTCACTGGCAATGAATATCGGGACGAACCCTTTGTTTATTATATAATAATATTATTTCATATATAATTATTTATAATTATATGTAATAATTATTTATAGTTATATGTAATGCAATTTATAGTTATATGTGTATATTGAAAACAGAAAAAAAGATAATTGAATTGAATTTTTATGTTAAATATTTAACACATATGCATTTGTTAATTTAACATATTGCTGTTGTGTTAATTGGACTCAAATGTGAAATTATTAAATTTATTATTAAAACAACTGAAAAAAATGTAAAAATACATTTATTTTTAATTTTGCACAATATAAATATGATATAACGACAAGATTTAAGATTAACTATTAAAATTTACAGAAAAAAATATTAATTTTATTTTATAATATAAATGATAATAATAAAATATATATATATATATATATACACAGTAAAAAAATTTATGTTAAATTTAACACATTTCACATGTCTCAATTTATCTACTCTAATTTTAATGTCATTTTAACAGAAGACAAATATGTAAATAAATAACACACGTAATATGTGAAAAAATAACACAAAAATATAAAAATAAAAATATAATATAAGCAAAAATTCGTACATTTTCATTTAATTGTGTTGTTTTAACACTTAAAAATAGTGAATATTAACTCAACAGACAAATGTCAAAATAACATAACGACAATATGTTATATTAACATAAGAGTATGTTAAAAATTTCTACACAAGATAATTTCAACAGAAATACGAAATGTTTTTTACCGTGTATATATATATATATATATATATATATGTAAAATTAAGAATTTTTTAGTTAATTTTTATATTAAAATTATATGTTAATTTTACATAAAATTTATTTTGCATTTCTTTTATGTTAAAAATTGAAATATTAATACAGCATTCGTGTCACTATTTAACATATTCGTATTATGTTAAATTAACACAGATTTTTGTGGTTTTGTTTGGGATATGTGACATTTTTTTTTATTAAATTTTTCAATTGTGCAGAATTTCAAAATGAAAAAATCTTGACAATTTTTTTTAATATGAACTTCGCAATACAAATCTTTTCTCGTTTGAATTGACGTGATTGTTCGTTCTGCGAATTTTGAATGGTGCAATCTCAGTCTATTTACCGTAGCCTATATAATTAATAATATATATATATATATGTTAACATACCTGTCACGCCTACACCTATCACAAGAGAACGCTCGTGGAGGAATGCTGCGGTCCGTGGACGTGTTCGTGGCACGACTTCAAAATCGGATTACCTTTGTGAATTCGTCATGAGTCTTCACCCATGTGGAGACTTGAACGTGGGTGGCGGGTGGGAGAATACGTTGGCGAATGAAACGAACTAACGTGTTATATAGTAATCAAATTATGATGATCACAGCAGTTCCAGAAAGATATCGCATTAGATAACAAAGTTGACGCACGAGTACAATTAGATATTCACGGAAAAAAATAAAATATCTTCGTCGAAAGAAAAGGAAAAGAAGAAGATACAACTTCTATAGTATTCCAATTGTTTAAAATACAGAACTTCGTCTACACACATTTTTATAAGAGTTTCGGAGGGGTCTCTCGAACCCAAGAATGAGACATATCCAAATTATAATCCAACGAGAAATGATATAATTAAATCAATGTCGATTCGACATCGAATCAATGTCGAATTGGTCGAATCAATATCGATTCAATTGATCATTTTTCACAGGGAAGGCATTAGAGAGAATTCAAAATTTATAGGTGCCAATGTCGAAAACACCATCGATCAATGTTAAGACATCATCAATGTTGGGTGTAAAGTGTATAAAGTGTATCATACGCGAGAACTCATGCAAGTGGGCCAGCGTGTATATGGATGGGCCATATTATTTATTTATTATATTATTTTTATTACATATAATATATTATATTTATTTATTATAATAAAAAAAACTTGGACAGAGTAGTATAGCATAATTTTATGGTAGGCCAAAGGGTGGGCCTGAGTTTTTAGATGGTTTATGCAAGATCAATCAATTGTTTTTAACGTGCTTCCAAAATTCTTGTTTTTTCTATATTATTCATCCTTTCCTAAAGATTTCTTTTTGCGTTCAAGGCATTTTATCGTGGAAGTGTTTTGGAGTTTGTAGAATATTGTCCTTATACTATATCGGTTATTTGGTATGAGAATGTGCTAAATATATTTTTAGAAGGTATACAGATATACTTCTGAGCACAGTAATGACGAATTTGTTATCTTAGACAACTCTGATGATGAGCAATCAATAAATAAATAACATCATTAAAAGGTTAAACCTATACTCTGACGGCGGTTTAAAGATCTAAATTATTTTTTTTTAATTCTACCATTATTATCTATATACTTATATCAAGGTATATTTATAACTCGACTAATACTAACTATTTTGTTTATTTCTTACAACGTTTCGACCATCAGGTTTGCTCCTTTTCAAGTAAAGGTTACAATGTAATATAATTAAAGCGGAACAATCCTTTATTCTTTAGATTCTTCACACAAATTATAAACACTTTTGTCAAATTTATAAGAGAGAAATCGTTGTATCATGATGAGATTCTGTTAAACATATAATTAACATCATATGTTTCAACATATGATCATATGTTTAACATCATGAATGATTTCTCTCTTATAAATTTGACAAAAGTGTTTGTGTGGAGAATCTAAAGAATAGAAGATTGTTCCGCTTTAATTATATTACATTGTTTGAAAAGGATCAAAACCTGATGGTCAAAACGATGTAAGAAATAAACAAATTTATAGCTAGTATTGGTCGAATTACAAATATATCTTGATTTATTATAATTTACTAGCGATTATAAAATTATTAATTATTATCTACTTATATGTTTGATGACTGAGCCCGGGAGGGCTTAAAATGGAAGAAGTTCTTTAGGAAGTTAAATTAAACAATTTTATTCAAATCGTGAATCGCTTTGCATAAACATTATAATTTCAATTTGTAAACTGTAATTTATATATCGTAATATTTCTTACAAAAATAACAATAAGTGCAATTATCGCAATGTATAAACGTTTAGTAATTATATAGAAATAAATACAGTGATAAGATTATTCTGTTTGTTTTCTTTATCAATAAAATGAAGTGATCTAAATTGAGAATTTTAACTTTCAAAGTATAACATATAATAGATAATAAAAGATAATAAAACAATAATGTAAGATTAAACTGAATTATTCTTAAATATCACATTCGAGAAATCGCTTTTATTTATTTCATGCAATATAATTCTGATTACAATATTTCCTCGGATAGATTTTACAATCAATTCTATGACTTCTGTTAATTTTTAGTATCATTAAGCTCTGTAAATGCTGATATATACTTATGACTTTTTAATAGGTAAAAATGTAGGAAATATCGAAGAGAAGTTATTTTTTACCGTATATGTATTTTTATTTGCATCCGTAAAATTCATTTTTTAAATTTCACAACATATGACGTGTCAGCCATTTGGTCCAGCCGTTTTCATCACGCACGTATTTGAAATTGTATAAAAAAACTCGCACTTTTTTGGTGAAAAAACGATGAAAATATTGAAGAATAATAAAAGAAATTGTTGCGAGTTTGAAACTTTTAATATACATAATGACAATTAATTTTTGTGCTCATAAATCATTGTACTCTTTGGTAAATGCAACAACAATCATCGCACAACAACAATAAAACGTAACAATACAAAAAACTTTCGGAATGCAAACAGTAACATCTTCCTATTATTAAAATTCGATTCAAACATCGAATATTTCAATACATGTCACTTTTTAATATTCGAAACCTTTAAAACCCATGTATACAATTTGCGAATAAGTATATATATTATATATGTATAAAGTTCGATCGCACAATCGCGATTATTTCTAATATAATTCAACTCCTTTCTCTTATATATATATATAATACGTAATTTTTCAATTCTCTAACTTATTTAAAATTCAATTCCTACGTTGTGGAGAGAGAATCTCAGAATTTGCATTTAGGATTTTTAAATTCTGAGAGGTAGGATATGTGATTTTTTTTTTACAAAATTCCGCTATACGCATTACTAATAAAGAGAAGAAGATATTAATAAGCTCTGAAAAAAAATCACAAAAGTTTTTTTTAATATTTTACAAGATATCTGCATTGTTTCCAAAGTTAATTTGCTATTATAATTCAAATAATAATTAAATCTTGAAAGAGATAAGATTATATTTTCAGAAACAACAGGTTTTCTCGAAACGTGTGTGTTAATTATTATTGATTACTACCTCAAAAAATGCAAGAGTTTCTACAAATCTCTAAATTCTCATATCTCCAATTTTTTTCATAATAATAAATATGACATGCGCATCTAGATAATCTTGTTACCTTCTGATAAAATTCGAATCAGTTCGTGAAAGATCTATTTCATTTCGAATAAATTTCGTTTTTTTCTTTCGCAAAACTCGTCATGAAAGGAGAAGAAGAAATGGGAAAATGTACTTGTAATAAATTGTTCTTGTCTCGGCACAATATAAATAGTTATAAGTTCATCGCGGTTCATCAGTCTTACTTATATCCAAGGAACGATCGAGCTTATTCTTCGACTTTCGTCCAAGCAATCTGCGAAAAGAGGAAGTCCATCTCGAACGGGTAAGCCCGTCTCTTCCAGTCACGGCCTGATCATTGACCTCATTACTGTCTAACGACTCGCTGATGTTTCTGCTCTTGCCGCTGCTGATGCTACTACCAGCATTATTGAAGCATCGCGATTTACGATCTCCCATCTCCGAAGAGAACCTGAATAATTAATGCAAATTAGAAGATGAGAATGCAAACAAGTGTTTCTAACAGTAACAATTCCTGTAGAGTTAAACTATATAGAGACCCTCAAGTAAAAGACATGCGAACTGTGATTGTTTGCAAGAATATGGCAGCCGCTATGACGCGAATGTGATCAGTTTCCCGGAAAACATTTTGCGTGCAAATACCTAGCCATTGCATACAAAAGCGGCTCATACTACGCAAGCAAAACCTTATCCTAGTGTGTCGTCATAGTGATAGCAAATGCTAGCACACTTTGCGCGCGATCTCATCTCGTTATGCATGCAAGATGAGCACTATTCAACAAGCATCTCTACTGTCACTATCACATCACTGACATATTTTTGACAATTTGATATCCATTTGCACGTGATTTGCTAGTGTATTAAATAATACATAAGCTAACCATTTGCGTGCAATATGTACGATTAAACATATCCCACAAGCAACACTCAGGCAAATCTCGTACACAGTTTATATGCATAAGACGCGCAAATTTTGCACGCAAAAATTGTTATCTGGGTTGTAAGGTTTGTAAGAAAAATATAAATATATTAAAATTAATATATGTATAAAACATTTCATCTCATAATATAATATTTTACACAAAAAAGTTATAAAATACATGAAAATTAAAAATATATTTTAAGATAATCACATTCTTAACCTAATATGTGACATAATATGTACATAAAAATTGTAGTGGATATTCAAAAAATTACCACAATACTGAGTTGCTGTGTTCCGAATTACTAATAATTACTATAATGACTAATCTTTATACTTTGTCCATATGCCTAATTGTAAGTCAAATATAAAATCAGATTATTTCATTGATTCCGCTATATTTTTGCAAAGTCAGCCATTAACCAATCCTGACGTTATAACCAGTTCGCATGTCTCTTACTTGAAAATCTTTAAGTTAAACAAACCCTGAATCCGAAGAGAAAGCTCTGACTGTGTGAGGAACACTGGAAGTGGCCGAAGAGAGAGAGGGTTCGGCTATCGGAGTATTCGGATAGGCTTCGTCGTCGTAAGCGCTGTTGCTGCTGCTGCTGCTACTGCTGCAGCTGCGGCTGTTGGTGCTGTCATTGCTGCTACTGTCGACGCTGGAGTCGTCGATGTAACAGATTTCACGATCGGCCATGGACGACACGATTCGCGGAACTCGGGACGACGACTGAATCGCGCTAGGTCGTAACCAGCTACGAAGATCTTGTGAGGGTGCTTGAAGGCACTGCAAGAGATTTCCACTGCAAACAGTAAATATTTATGGTTAAATTAAAATATACGCATTTCGCGTAATACTGTAAGAAAGGAAAATATCGGAGCTTTCTATGAAAACTCGATTCTAGGATCGTCCTAACCTCAGGCAAATCTGCTATTGAGCCACTAAACGTTCCATATCACCGTATTTTATCTCTTCTCTTATATATCTTTACAATTTGGTTCTCATGACCAAACATTCGTCTTCGAACGTCACAATGCTTTTTTAGTTCACAAAACTCTTACATTTCTCTTACCTTTAGTTCAACTCAAAATCACCAAGGAACCATTGAGAACTCAACCCACTTCTGAAAATATTGAGGAAAGTAGTAAGAAAAATATTGAAGCTTTCTATCGAGACTCGATCCTAGAATCTTCCTCTTAGTAGAGAAATCGCTGAATCATACGTCCGATACCACCGTATTTTCTTGGTTACATATATATTCTTTACAATATGTTATAGAATTTGATAGTGTCAAATACCGATATAGTAAAATTGTAATCTCATTTTTCAAATGAGTGATTTAGAATCTTTATTTACTTGTCACGATAATTGTTGACGTTGGCAAAAGTGCGTCTGGCATATGTGCAAATAGAACATCGGCGACGATTTCGGCAGGATGTTGCGTGAAACGTTGCGGCAGTCAAGTGACGAGTAGCGTGCTTCAATGCAATAGTCTCCCTGGTCAGTGCAGCAACGCCTTCTTCTCGACGGCGTCGTTCGGCTCCCAATTCGTGCTGCTCCACTCTGAGTCTCTGCCGCAACATTTCATTCTGGAAGAGGTAATCGACATGGCACATATTATATAATGTTTCAAAAATATGTGCGAAAAAGAGTATACTAAATAGGGAAAATTTTGTGGTACAAAACCAATAGTCATAAAACTTGACACAGATATATGATATGAAGAAATCTAACAAAAATTGAATGACTCTGCAAAAAACTTTTTGATGCAATAGAAAATCCATTTTCTGATTTTTTACCAGGATATAAAACATTGTGCAATAAAGGTATTCTAATACACAAAAAGTATCCACCTCTCTTTCCAAGGTGTCTCTTTCAGCGCGAATAATAGTGGCCTGTCGGATAACATCTTGACGCGCTCTGTCGAGATCCCGTCTTGTGGTCTCATTCTCCTCGAGCTGCATCTGCAAACGACGAAAGGCTGACTCCCGTTGCTGCTCCAGTCGATTTTGCGCCTCTATATAGCTATCTTTTTCGGCCTTCGCGCGTTCGATCTCTTCTTCTAATCGGAGACTTCTCTCCAGTTGTATAAAAAGCTCGTCTTCTTTTCCACGGAGTTCCGTCTCGCAATTCTCCAACCGTCTTTCCAGATTCCTACGAGTCTCCTCTAGTCTATCTCGTTCAGCCTTTGGAAACAAAACCACATATCTTATAGAAAATTGTCCTTCAGGGGAATTTCATACAAACTTAGGGTTTTATACCAATTCATATAACGTCTAAACAAAAATTTCAATGGGCACAACTTTCTAGGAATTATAATTTAGCTTACAAAAATGTTAAAAATTAATGATTTGTAGGACACTTTTGTTAAAATTTTTGTTATAATATATTTGCAACTCTCTGTGAGTTTCAATAAATAAAACATCCCAAAACTCATTACGTAAAGGTGTCTGCAATTCGAGTGCGTCACTCAGACTCTTCCAACCATTATTTGTCCAAAAAATGGTATCGTCATTAATGATTATAATTCTATTACTGCACTTTTATATTCAGGGTAAATTAAATAAAGTGTTATAAGCCATTTTCTTCAAAATTACTGGAAATATCAGCTTAAGTTTTTTTTTACATTAAATGAGACAGACTAACTACCGGTGTGAAGCTAGCATCTTATGTTAATATCTTAATATCTTATGTTAATATCTTACGAATTTATTATAAATTTACTTGCATCCGGCATAGTTCTGGGAGTTTTAATAAGTTTCAACAATAGTTCAATTGATTTACACATAAAATCGCATTCTAAAGAAATGAGATGTTCACTTCTCGTATGGCTTTATAGCATCTCATCGAATTTCACATCTTCTAGCGTAAGGGAGCAATATTCCGACGAGTTCAACATTTTGAGCATGAATTCTCAAGAGTTCAGACAAAAAATACTATAATCAAAAATTTAATAAAATAAAATTTTTTTTTTAAATAATACAATGTTGCCAGTGCCTAGAACTCTTTAGAAAATTATTTAATGCGTTAAGAACTGCACGAAAAATATTTTACTCATCATGAGAAAATAAATCTTACCACAGATATATAAAATTTGTAAATTGTGCGATATCACTTTGAAGAAATTTTGAAACTATTTTTGTTTCATAAAAATTTGTTTTATTTTTATAAATTATTTTATTCAGTGATTTCGTTTTCTCAATGCATATTTTGTCGATATACTGAGTACGCGTTGAAAATCACTGGCGAGCCGCGTCTAGCTTGATTTCGCGCGACCGCTTGATCATGCCGGATGACGTATACTCTCAGTACTCTCTTTTCCCTTCAGTTCTAGTTCTAATGGCGGCCACATTGTAGGTCAACCAGGTAGGCAAGCGAGGTGGATGAACGCCAACTACATAGTATTGAGACTAGTAGACTCTTCTGGTGGAGCTTTCTTTATAACAAGAAGAACGGGAAGCCGGAAATACCGAAAGAAATATTATATATAGCTGGTTATATTGGACAAATAACTGAATAACATGTGTAATATTATATATACGTGAATTCCACTGATTCTGATTAAAACCATCACAATAGATTAAAAGTATTAATTGAAGAAGAGATCCAATATAAAAATCCTGGATCAAAGATATTTGTTTTACAAAAAAATTGCTAACTAGCACTTATGCGAGACTAATAAAATTATTTACATTAAAATTATGTCACATATAAAATTATGTCACATTATAAGACATTAGAGTAATATTGATTACCTAATTGCTGAATATAGTTCCTAAATTATATTTGACATTTTTTCTAGATGAAATATCGTTTATTCGATTATTCTGGACTAAAAAATATATAAATGCTTTACACAGATAAGTGATGAAGTATCAGTGTCTCTGCCACAAATAGATGATATTATTACGAGTGTCTAGGCTCTTGTGTAATTTTCCATATTCTGTTTCCTTATTTGGACTCTGCTTAATTATCTGGTTATATATTGTACATAAATATTTATGTACATATATACATATATATACGTCTTTTATTAGTCCGCACGTATTATTTGTTGCGCTAGCAATTAACTTAACCATACACACTTTTATATTATAAAACGAATGAGGTAGAAAACAGGATATCGTGCGGAGAAAAATAATCGGAGTATCAATATCGTGTTTCATGTTTCAATCTTTCTTTTTTTTAAGTCACACCTTATTTGCTCTTGTCGAGAAATCTTATCTGAGAGGCAAAGATGAGAGTACCGTAATATAGAAACCAAAGGAAGCTGAAGGAGACCGTAATGTAGAAACCAAAGGAATCTGAAAGAGACACGATGACGCAGATGCAGAAGAACGAAATATAAAAGAGATACCGTTTCGTTTCAAGATTTTTTTTAGATTAAATGCATTATATCGTCGTTTTTATCGCGCTGCGATATTATTACAAGTAAATGACGATGACAAAAAAAGGAATGTATTTTACAACATGGTAATATTTAATATTATAAATTTTATATACAATATATATATATATATATATATATATATATATATATATATGAACTCGCATGCACAAATATTTAGTTATTAAATATAAATATTAACCCAGACAACACAATAATGTTTTAAAAATATACATATTAGACGTTTTGTACGTATTTAAAACATTCAGAGCCTTAGACATTTTTAAGATATTTAAAAATGTGTAGTGTTTTATTTTTCTGGACAATCGAAAAATATTTATAGGATTAAAATTAAACCCGTTTCGAACATTAAACATATTTTTTAAAGTAGGTAGATGTTGGTATATAAATCTCATACAGCATCAAAAGACTGCAGAAATATTGCAAATATCCAAAAGAGATAATCTCTATAAAAAACGTAAACTCGAAGGCGACTTGTTTAAAAAGAAATAAGAAAAAACGTCTTTCACACATATCCGTCATTTTCCCAGTATCAAATACGAGAAATTTAAACGACAAGTAGGTGATGATGACGAATCCAAAAATCCGAAGGCAGAGGATACACATATGTTAGAAAAAGTAGAATGACGAGAACAATATTCACCTCTTTCTTCTTTCGTTTCATGGTTTACGAACTTCTCGGAATGCAGCTTGCATGCCGATAATTTACAGCATGATATGATGGGCCGACGTAATTCGTATTATAGTACATTTCAAAACGATAACTTGCAAGAATTGTGAAAGGAAAAAGTTACATGTAGAAGGAAATTTATATACGAACTAATCATTCGATCATTATATAACGATTAAAAAGTATTGGAAAAAATATTGAAAAAAATATTGGAAAAAAATATTGGGAAAAATTCTAGAATTGCAATTATATCGTGTGATCAAAAAATAATAAATTATATAATAATAGATTATAATAAATTATTGTAAATTCCAAATACAGAAAATTGATAGAAGCTATAATTGGCCGAATGTCATCTCAAAAGAATTATAAAAGAATTGAATAGCTCGACGAGGCAAATTTTCAAATCTCCCAGCACCAAATATCAGAACATTATCAAGTGACAAGGTTGAGGAGAAGTGTTAGAGGAAAACAATTTTAATTTTCTATAAATAAAAGTAAGCTCCAAGGAATATCATTGCGTACAATTGCATGCAAACCTAAGCGCGAGATATATTTTAAAGAATTTCGAGATATGTTTCCGAATTTTATCGCGCACTTATATTAAAGTGACATTGTAATCTATCTAAATCTAAAAAAATTATAAAAATTAATAGAAAAGGGTGATAATAGTTTCGAAATAATATTGAATTAAAAATCGTAGATATGGACTATCCAATTAATAAAATTTAAAATTTGACAAATTTCGATTAAGGAACATTGTAATAATATTAAATTACATCATAGTTCACATTCGGTTATAAGTAAACATCGATCTGAATTTGAACATAATTTTGAGTGGAATCGATTTAACTTTTTACACACGGAAAAGCATGTGAGGAAGAGAGAGATAGCCGAAATGTTTTATATTAAAAAATTAAACAATAACAAACTCACAGAGGAATACAGAGAGCCTTAACAATATATATAATAAAATAATTAAGGTCGTGTAAATAATCTCACTTAAAATACATTAGAATCTGACGATCCTTGGTTGGGAGATGTTGTGGCTGTCTCACAATTTCAATTTAATTTTAATTTTGACTTGTATAATTTTAGCTAAAAATTGATATTGATTATTGCTGTATGATGAGTTAATTATTACTACATTTACTTGTAAGTATTATACGTGCGTTTCCAATTGCGAATTTTATATTAGTGTTTCATTGATAATAATAATATGTTTAATAATTATTGTAGTCTCACTTGAAAAGGACCACAATCATATGATCGAAACGTCGTGAAATTTAATAAACGATTATTACTTGCTAGTTTGGTCGGTTATTTCCAAAACTCAAATTTCGAAAAATGTATAAAAGCCAAAACACAAGATTGAGATATTATTATGTATATTGTGTGAAAATTAAGATTTTTCAGAAAAAAATGTGTTTTACTTAAGAAATTTTATAGAATTTTTATAGGAATTTTAACAGATCGAGAATTACGTATTTCGTAGAAAGACGAAAGTTTTATTTATGCGATTGAAGATAATAATGAACTCAAGTTTTATTCTGCCGCTACAATACGTAATTATCTACCAATCTTATTGAAGAAAAACAATGCTCCGCGGAGAAAAATTTCACCAATAAATCTTTCACTTTTTCCCAATTAAAATTCTTGACAATTGAAATCAGAAGTTTCGAAGTATCCTCAACACCGTGATATCAGAAGTAATTATCCAATACAAATTATACAGATCAAGATACAAATCGTACAGTTAATAAAATAAAGATCAATATAGCGAACAAATTTCTCGCGAAAAAAAATTAATTTCTTTTAGTGATCATCACTTCTTTTGTTTTTGTGGCTGTTCTTCCGGTTTCGCGAAAGAAAGAACAATTCGTGAATAAAGTTAGAGAGAAAGAAGACTCGATTTCACCGCTCGCGGACTCACTAATAAATAATTAGCTGTAATTAAGCATCGAGATTAATGAGATTGCGGAACAACTATAGACGCATTTTGATAATAATTCGCGACACAAATCACATTATATACGTTCATGTTTGTATAGAATATGATTTATCGTCCGCATTCTGCAAATTAATTAAAATAAAATTTATTTAAAAAAAAGTAATTTTAATTCTTATTTGATTTCGCGAACTGATTCTAGTGTGTTGTATCTCCTTTATTTTTATCAAAAAATTAAGAGCAAAGGAGTGAGCGATAAAATATTTTGGATGCTCATCCAAGCAAGACGTGAATTTAACAAATTACTTGGATTTCTTTTTTGAACCGAAAAAAATCTCGATGTTGAATCTGAATTTTTTTACAAAAAAAGGACTTAAAAAGATATTTTCACATCTCAAACATTTTTTGGGGATTTTCTAAATGGTAGTAACGATTTTTTGAAATTGGCTTTTTTCGAAATTCGATCTTAAATAACTCCTGCACGGGTCAATTTCCGGTTTACGCAAAAAAAATGTATGCCCTTTCAAACAATATAGTACAATATGTAAAGATATATATAAATTTTAAGCAATTTTTTAATCACCAACAAAAACATTTTTACATACCTTGATCTCATGATAACGTTCCTCCAGATAATACGTGATATTCTTTGCTTCCTTATACTTTTCGGCGAGATCCACGTATTTGTCATAATGCCGTTTGAATAGGACATATCTGTGAAAAAAACGAAACAAAAGTAGAAAATTAAGTGGTACAATATTATACAATGACTTATACTATATCTGGCTCTTCCTATATTTACTATTATTATTTCTATCTAGCTTTTCCTCTAATTATATAAATTAGTCGTTTTCTTTTAAAATATAAGATTCTCTTGCATCATTCTTCTATTACTCGCATTTGACACATGATCATATTATCAGAATGGAGAAAATTAAAATTAAAGATGCTTAGACTAGAAAATCACTTATGAAAGTGACTTATATATGGAATTGTTTGTTCCTATCGGAGCAGAGATAACGTACGCGAATACACGAGTTTCATCGCCGTTCATCATTGTAGCATCGGAAAGTCTACGATAGATCCGCGATCTGTTCCCAGCCATTGTTCCAACGAGAGAAACGGAACCGGACATGCACGCACTTATATTTGATCTCACTTCGAGCCTTGTGGCGTTTCGGGAGTTTTGTGTTGAGCGTTTAAAACCGATTTCACCGCACCAATCGCGGCGATGAATCAAACTTCTTCCTCTCTAGTTCGTAGTTTGCTAACTGGTCTCCGCGAACACACAACTTTCGCTTTCATGAGACCGGCTGATTCACATCGATGCTGATTCGTACGTTTCACGTCCCGGTAGTCTGCGAGCGAATGGGCCTCTGCACCCAGGTGATACCCGGTGATACCTTCGAAATGAGAAAGTCACCTGACCCGGAAACACGATGAAGCGTCACAGTATGCGCGAGTGTAACAGTTTAACATAAAAAAAAAACACAAAAAAACTTCCCATTTGACGAGAATCCAATGTTAAAATTGAAGCCCTCGCATCAAATATATATGTACATACAGGATTTTAGCTTTCTGTGGAATTGGCTGTTTTTTATATGTTGTAGCTCATGACTTGCTGAACAAAAGATGATATAGTTTCAAAGCTAAATGTTGGATAATTATTATATACTAATTGTAAGTCAAACAACTTGCAGAGTCCCAGTTTTTCGTGTTTGACTGGTCGTAAACTAATAACCGTCTATTATTTAACCTTTGAGCCTATTACATTTTTTGTTTAATAAATTTAAGCTATAACATATGAGAAAACCAACTGACCAAGATTTAATTTTATATAAAATTAATATACGGGGTTTTTGATATAAAATCCTAGATGAAATTGAATCCCAATAAAATGGATTGAATATCTTATTATTAATAATGATATAAAAAAAAATTCTTTTGAGAGTTGAAACATACTTGATTTTCATTGCAAAAATTTTTTTCCATTTGCATCGCATACTGTAGTTATAATAATCTAAACTAAATTTGTTAATCTAATTTTTTTATAAACTTTAACCACAAATGTTTCAAAAAGAGATCGCGTATTCAGCATCAAAAAAACTAAAACGAAAAACGTTTTCAAAGTCTTTTTCTTGTGTTCCAAAAAGAGGTTACTTTTCGTTCTTATAGATGATGTGAAAATAACAATCGAAGATTTGAATTAATTGCTTAACGCGTGTGAAATAGAAATGCTGAACTCATCAAAGATCTCAAAGTTTTGGCTAATTAATTTTTTAACCGATTTGACTTAAATTTATATAGAGTATTTCAGTAAAACTGAACAATCTCTCATAGACATGTAGAATAGGTAAAAATAATTCCATAAGTTCCTATAAATTTTTTTCTATAATCTATCTTTATCAAGACTTGCCTTTAAAGTTAAAATTTAAGAAGTATTTCTCTTATAAAATCTTTTTTCTATATTTTGGAAATTTACAGATACATAGAGATTAGTGATACATCAACCAAAAGAGAAACTGTCGCTTAATTATACAAATAAGATATATAATGGAAAAAATTAAAAATTAGATTTTTCTTGATATTTTTTCTGAGGAAAAATCGCAATTCTAAATTAGCTAATCTGCTATATTAAAAATATGTCCAATAGTTTTAAGACATTCTATATTCTATACTCTATATAATGTATATGTTAAATATTTTTGATACGGATATATCTTTTGAAATAATTACCGATCGAAATAATACTTATTTGCGATTTATTTCATTGAGCGATTATTACGACTCGCGGAAGCCGCTCCTCATCGTTTAAGAAAGAAATTATCCTTGTTTCGGTCTCTTGATTGCGTAGGCGTAGATGATTAAATGGTAATGATCTTCTTATAGTGACTACAAGGCCAGTTTCGCATCAAACTTTGAATATCCGGCAACCATATTTTAACTTTGCATTTAATTTAACATAAGTGCGAGACTTTAAAAATAAGAAAACATTAGTGACAGGCAATTATTATATAATATAATTATAAAATATAGTACATATCTATCAAATCTCTGAATTGATTAACGAAATCGACTTTAATTATCAAATAAAGAAACAATAATTATTAATCGTTTAGTATACGTAGTATTCATCAACAAAAATATCTGAGAGGTCTATTCTTTTCGTATATTAATAAAACAATTATGTTGGCAAGTTATAATGACAAAAAAAGAGAGAAGCCAATTTGAAGTTAAAATATACATAATTTAGAGTTTTCAGGTGGTATTTGCAGTTAAAAATAAATAAAATAACAGTATTATCTTGCACTGACCTGTACAAATCATTTTCAGTAACAATATCGCGAATGGAGTCCTCTGGGTCGACGGGCACCCCCACTATTCTGGACGGCGACGAAAGGATACATTGCGAGGGTCCCGCGACGCCGATGCTAACCCCAGCCTCATCGTAGATACCCGAGTCTCGGAGACCGCTGGCCGCGATCAGATCGTCCTCGGATGTAGCAGTGGGTAAATCGATGTTCGGACTGGGAGATCTGGAGATCGCGCCCAAAAGATCCTCGCTTCTTGAGTGACGCATCTCCCTGGTGCCATATCTGTCGATTCTGCGATGACGGTCCATCATTCGTTCTTTTCTATCAGAAGGTGTGGCCCTAAGGAAATTATCGCTACATTCGATAACTCGGGTACTCCCATCCGGGACGATCCCACCGATTGATTCAATTGACTTTTGGTTTCCGGTTCCCTGGTTCTCGGTTCTAGGGTTTTTCGTTATGCGATATAATGTCAAGATTTGCGACGTTCCAATCCGTTAAATTGTATACCTTAATGTTATATTATCATTGATTTGTTTCAGGATAATAAATGGTGTATTGAACATTCTTGTATAATTTTACGGCATATTTCCACATTATTGATTCTTTGACGCATATGTATATCTCTCCGAAGCCAATTCGTAATTTTCTTGACAAAATTCTTACAACACCACAGAAACTATACAGTTCTTACACCGATCTTAATATTTTACTCTTCTTTCGTCTCTATTTCACATATAAATAAGAGTTTTCTCGACAGATACACTTCTCCAATTCACACTATATTTGAACTTTCACTGTGTTTACTCTCGCAGGAAAACTCTCTTGTTAGAATATTTACACAAAATTTATTGTCAAAAGAAACTCTTACCGTAAAATTTCCATAAAACTGAACTTTGCATTCAAATTAATTCGAAGTAAGATACACATACGTATATATGTATTGGCTTTCACAATCGTTTGTGCAATTTGGCGAGCCTCAGAGGACAATTACGAGTTTAGAGAAATTATGAGTTTCGCAATTCTTTGTTATCCTGCTTGTTGATTTTATTGTTAGTCGCGTTCTTTCGTAATTGCCAAGGTAAAATTATGGTAACCAACAGAGTATCGCCACTTTTTTCTTTTACTTCGCTCTCTTACCTCCTTCTCGAAAGTAACGGACCTCCGCCGCGCCAGGATTCTCCGTTACGTTCGTCGGCGCGTTAAAGTGCCTTCCATTTCCCAAAGCGAGTATATATATACTTTAATACACTTTGACAAACGTACTGTGAAGACTGTAAATTTTATTTAAGATTTGCGACAATAAATATTTACGATAGATTAAAGTTTTTATCAAACTTTCGAACCCCTGCAAATCTCTCAAATTGTCCATTGTCATCCGGTATTTTGGATACATTAAGAAAGAGCACCGAGGGATTGACTTTAAATAATCCATTTTTTTCATACAGCGTGAATCTTTTCCTCGAAATAATATATAAAAAAGGATAACACACAGATATCCTTTTATTACTTCGGTATCGATTTGAGAGTTTTTGTTATTATAACTTAGTACAATTCTAAAAACAGCACGTGAACAACTTTTGTCATCAAACAAACATCGTACAAGCACCGAACACTATTTCCCTCGGAAGTAACACTTGAAGAGTCAATTGGAATGATATATTCGCAGGACGAATCCTGTGAATAACCTATTCTAAGCCACCGAAATCACTTTGGCAGTCGTCAGTCTAAAGATTTACATGTACCAATACCCACTCCTTCTAAGAACACAACATCCCTTTTAGATCGATCACACATGCAAGAATCCTCGTCGGTCCTTGACACCGTCATTTCAGGCGACCATTTTCACGGTTTAAACTCCATGGTTTGCGATTCCAACCGAGCTGTAATCCTCACGGCCGAAATGACACGAATCCTATACCTGTCCGTGGCTGTGCCTACCTACGGACCATGCGCGGCGAGCAGTCTTGCTCCGTTTGTACATTCACCTTGCTCCATTTGTATGTATGTACATAGTATATACATGGTACATCCTATCGACCGCACCATCGCGCGCGCACTCGTCCAAATGTAACTCTGATCGGACGAACGACTGTCGAGTCGGACTGGGGTCTATATGTTGAGTGCCTGGAGAGATGGAGATCCTTTTCGCGTTCACGCTCTCACTTCCCGATGGCGAGAAGCGTCTATATAGTTTCTTTTGCGCTGAAAGGGGGATCCGAAGGGAAAGGTCGTTTACATACTAGACTTTATATACATGATGATTCTTGATTGCTTCGCTCCGTGAAGTAATTCTACTCCCGGAGATATGTTCCACGGTTGCAATTCAAGTGAAGCAAAGTTGACTTGCTTTTTGGATAATAAATAATTGGTGATCTCTTGTATTGTATCAATAAAGGGCGCAATCCAAATATTTTTAGACACTATATATATATATATATATATATATATATATATGTGTGTGTGTGTGTGTGTGTGTGTGTGTGTGTGTGTGTATTATATGTTTATATTAATAAATCAGCATATTAATAATCATATTAATAAAATATATACGAAATTAAAATAAAAATTATTTGTTGCATAAATAAAATTCTACTAAATAAAAATAATAGTACGATAAACATGAATTGTTAAAGAACTTTTTATCTTAAAATCTCTCATAAATGTTTTGATGCCTATCTTATAATCTCTATTAATTGCATTAAACGGATTAATAAACTACTATTTACCAAATTTATATTAATTATTTTTCGTTTGTCGAGCACAGCTTGCATCTCTGAACCATTGTACAAACTTTTGTTCCTTATGATTCATATCAAATATTTTAAAAAACGCGCGTATATATAGATAAATATATACATACGCAATAAGCGGTTCTATGAGTATATATGTTCCCTTAACTTTCTTCTTTGGAAAAGCAATCACGTTTTTCGAAACAACAGAGGTTAAGCGCACTCAATATGACATTCTAACTTATTTCTTATCGAATGACGATTAGCGATGGCTATTTTTGTTCTTGAACATTTCAAGCATAAAGCGCGATAACGATAATATTCATTGCTGATAAGAACTTTTGCGTGCAGATTTATAATTTAGATTTTATGTACTGATGTATATAATTATGTAAATTTGTCTTAAATAAAATTTTAATAATAAATATATAAGTCATTACATATATATATATATAATGTTAATCTAAAAGTATTATTTTTAATTAAGCATTGATTGAGACAAGAAGAAGCAGATATATTCAAATAAAATGTCTCTTATCGCATTTTTTTTTGCTAATACGTTAACTTTACGTTTCCTATACTTTATATATATATATATATATATATATATACATATATATATAAGGTGTCCGGTAACTAACGGACCAACGATTACAAATGGATTCTTTGGTCAATTTGGGAACGATTTTTCCTTAGCGAAAATGTCGAAAAAGGTCATCATTTTTTACAACTTTCCAATATTTGTCATTATGTATCTTTATAATTAAGCCTCAAATTAAAATTTTATTATAGTAAACTCTATCTGAAATTAACTGAAGAATGTAATTATGTTAGATTTTTAACTCCAAAACGTTTAGTTTTCAAAAAACCCATTTTTTTAAATCGCTTATAACTCGAAAATTATTGATTTCTCAACATTTTTGCTAAGGAAAAATCGTCTCCAAATTGGCCAGAGAATCCGCCCTTAATCATTAGTCTGTTAGTTACCGGACACCCTGTATATATATATATATATATATAATCCCTTTTAAATAAATAATTTCTAGATATACAGATTAATATATATATATATATATATATATATATATATATATATACCGGGTGTCCGGTGGTGACTCGCGTTAATGGGAGATTCCTGAGGCGATTTGGAGATGATTTTTCCTCAGCAAAAATGATGAAAAAGATCATCATTTTTTTAATGTTCCCAATTTTTGAAATCATGTAACCAAGCCTTAAATTAAAATTCTATATATTACAGTAAACTTTACCTGAAATTAACTAAAAAATGTAGTTTTGTTAATTTTTACAAGGCTTAGTTTACGAAAAAGCTTTTATTTTCAATCATTTATAGCTTAAAAATTATTAGTGTCTGAACATTTTCGCTGAGGAAAAATCGTCTCCAATTAAATCGCTTCAGAAATCTCTCATTATAATGTGTAAAACGCGAGTCACCGGACACCCGGTATATATATATATATATATATATATATATATATATCATATCAGTGCTTAATCTGTATATCTGGAAATTATTTTAAAGGCATTTCCAGATATTGAGTAAAAATCATACATAGTGATGTGCAGTTTTTAAATAAATGTTTTATGGTTTTACGATTTATATATAATTATAATTGAATAACAATATATACCCACGGTATATACAACCGTGTATATACCCAAGGAACACACTGAAGTCAAGAAAAAGTCAAAATAATTTTATTTTGATTCGAAATAGTCATAATTTTTCATGTAACGAAAATTTAATTTATCATGATATCATCACATATATGCTGCTCAGTGACGAAAAAATGATCGATTTTACGCTGGCCCTGCAAATTTCATGATTTACTAGATAACCCTTATAGAAATTTATCACTAGAAACGCCAATTTATCACTTATTTCGAGTACTTAAATTACTGTACATCAGTATATTTTAAGTACTCGAAATAAGTGATTAATTGGCGTTACTAGCGATAAATTTCTACAAGAGAAATGTTATATTTCCAATCTTCTTATATATTGTAAAAAAGAAAACTCGTGTAGGACCGCGGAGCACAGATAATTACATATAATGTAAATAATCTCAAAATCCTTCATTTTCTAAATCTTCAGGATTTTCATCCTAAAAATAGAAATGAAGGATTCTAATTAATTAGTTGACTCTCTTATGCATTATGCAAAAGTCTATACTCGACTCCTATACGACTTTCATACATACATATATATAATTGTTACATTGCTATAATAAAACGGAATATAACAGATAATATAACGTATATGTTACATGTAACATTCATGTTAGTTGTAATTTCCCACTCATAGATGTAACATTTTAATATAACATATATTACATTGTAGTTATATTGTAATTATATACCAAATAGCACATTGATGTATTGATAAGTCAGTGCTATCTTGGGATATAATGACAATATAAACTACAATGTAATATATGTAATATTAAAAATGTTACATCTATGAGTGGGAAATTACAACTAACATATACGTTACATGTAACATGCTTGAATATCAGGGTTGGGAAAGTTACTTTGTAAAAGTAACTAGTTACAGTTACAGTTATTTCATTGAAAAAGTAACTATAGTTACAGTTACAAGTTACCGATTTTAAAAAATAACTCGTTACAGTTACAGTTACTCTAAAAGTAACGAGTCGTTACTTTTCAGTTACTTTTTAAAAATAATTATACATTGTTTTAAATATAAGGAGCTTACATTTTATGCACAATTACAGTCAAGTATTTAAAAAATTCTTGAATGTAATATTGATCGATTTGCTTGCGACTTTGCAATTAACATCAATGTATAAATGACCTTTATATACAACAGTAAAAATAGTTATAGTAAGTTACTAAATGGTAATCGCAAAGTCGCAAGCAAATCGATCAATTATTACCTTTAAGAATTTTTTTAAATATTTGACTGTGATTGATCGATCTTAATTATGTGTTATATTATTTTATGTACATAAAATGAAAATTTTAGGTAAAAGATTAAATCATATGAAGATCCATATGCTACTGTTATCAAAATTTAATTTAATAATATAACGGCTACCATACTTAAACAATACTTTTAGCGCATGTTTCCAAAAAAAGTAACTAATAAAGTAACTATTAAAATAGTTACTAGTTACTAAAAAAATGTAACAAAGTTACAGTTACAGTTACAGATGGAGAAAAGTAACGAAGTTAAGTTATAGTTACCGAAAAAAAGTAATTGTAGCTGTAACTTCGTTACAAGTAACTCGTTACTTCCCAACCCTGTTGAGTATATAACATTTATATACTGTGTTTGCTGGGACGTCATCAATATTTTTGACTATATATGATACTATAAATATATTAAAATCAATCAGTAAATCTCTGAAAAAAGTAGAGAGATCCATTCAACATGTATGTATAATCTTTTTACAACTTGAAAATAGACAATCATTGACTAGCACGATGAACCAGAGAATCCTTCAATATAACCAAATGCCATTTGTGTTTAGGGACTTGTCATTATCAAATTCTGATTGGTCTAAAGTCCCTAGAAATAATTATGATTATTATAACTTTATAATGTAATAATAATCTTTTAATGTATATTTATTATATTATTATTTTATATTATTTATTATTATTATATATTATTATATAATTATTTCTAGGGACTCTAGATTGGTGAATTCGCCATCTGGCGTGTTTTTTTTTAACTTCTTCGGAAAGATTCCATCTATGAATTTTCTATGACGATGACACAAATCAAAAAGAATTTTCCATGATACACGTGATTTTGTATATTGTATATTTTATTTCAATATTTTACTCAATAGACGAATATAGAAGAAGAAAATAATAATATACGTGATTTGAAAAATAATAATACACATAACTTGTGCTTAGTTTCCATAAGTAATAAAAAAAATGGGAAAGAAAGTTTTGAAGAGAAAACAGGTTAATCAGAAATCGCGAGAAAATGAAATTAAAAATGATAAATCAAAGGTACTGTCTTGTTATACATTCTATACATAAATTTTTATTTTTTATTTTATTATATAATATAAAAATTATTTTAAAGTATTTTTTATATTAAAAGTATTTTATATTTATATACACTCTATTGTTCAAAAGTTTGCAAGCAGTTATAGGAATTGTTAACTAAAATCATCAAAAGTCAATTTACAGATTTTTTATTACAATTAAAGGATATGACAAAACTAAATTAAAAATAATATTTAACATGTCTATACATCTTATATATACATAGACATATTCTTATTTATTTTATTACATCTAATTCAAATAAAGACTATTAATATGATATAATAATAATAAAACATAATTTCTTAACAATTTTTAGATATCTAACATTGATTTGTTAGAAGCTTATATCAATGATGAAGATACCACAGATGAAGAAGTAGAGAATAATGCGGATATACCCAATTCAGATGAAGAGCGGGATCCTATTGTATTTCAATCGGATGATGAAGATGATATACTTGAATCAGATTATAAATCTACAGATGCTGAAGAGTCTGAAGATTCTGAAAAGTCTGAAGATTCTGAAGATTCTGAAAATAATGAAACAATAAATAATTCTTACAAAGGAACACAAAAGAATTCACAAATTACATTAAAAGATTCCAAGAATAAATTAAAGATTAAAAATAAAGGTAAAAAATCTCAAATATCTAAAGTTACAATATCTGAAGAGTCTAAAGATTCTGAAGATAATGAAGCAATAAATAATTTTTATAAAGAAACACAAAAGAATTCACAAATTACATTAAAAGATGACAAAAATAAATTAAAGCTTAAGAATAAAGGTGAAAAATCTCAAATATCTAAAGCTACAATATCAACGAAAAAAGAAATATTAAAAAATGATAAGAATTCTAAAAAGTCAGAAGCACTGGCACATGAAGATGATTCCTGTAAAAAAATACAAACTAAAAATTTATCTAAAGATGAAGATGAATACGAGTATGATACTTCTGATCAGGAAGATATTTCTAACACAATTGGAAATGTGCCAATAAAATGGTACAATGATTATGATCATCTTGGTTATAATTGGGAGGGTAAAAAAATTCCAAAGCCAGAAAAAGGCGATGAATTAGATAACTTTTTGAAGAGAATGGAAGATCCTGACTTTTGGAGAACTATAAAAGATCCTCAAAGTGGTCAAAATATTACATTAAGCGAAGCAGATATAGACTTAATTGTAAGAATTCAAAAACAAAAAATACCTGATGTTCAATTTGATGAATATGCGGTAAGCTATACCTATAATAATTTAATTTTCTAAATTATATTGTTATATATTATATATGAAAAATTTTATTATTTCATGTTGTAAATTGCACAGCCATGGGTGGATTGGTTTACTTCCGAAGTAATGAAAACGCCTCTTCGAAAATTTCCAGAACATAAACGTTCTTTCTTACCATCTAAAATAGAAGCTAAGAAGGTGTCAAAATTGGTACATGCTCTCAAGATGGGTTGGATAAAATCTACTACCGAGATGCAAAATAATAGGGAGAAGAATCAAGGACCACAATTTTATATGTTGTGGCAGTCTGATGATCAGGCAGAGGAAATGCGTAGAATCCATAAGCATATTCCGGCACCTAAAAGACATTTGCCTGGTCATGCAGAAAGTTATAATCCTCCATCAGAATATCTATTTGATAACAAAGAACTTAAAGAATGGAATAAATTAAAAACAACTCCATGGAAAAGAAAGTTACACTTTATACCACAAAAGTTCAATTCTCTTCGAGAAGTACCAGCATATTCTAGATATATCAAGGAAAGATTTCAGAGGTGTTTGGATCTGTATCTATGCCCTAGAGCATTAAAGATGAGATTGACAATAGAGCCTGAAGCTTTAGTTCCACAATTGCCTAGTCCAAAAGATTTGCAACCATTTCCAACAACAATGTTCATGGTATTTAAAGGCCATACAGATATGATCAGAAGTATTACTGCAGAACCAAGTGGTCAGTTTATTGCTTCTGGTGGAGATGATATGTCATTGAAAAGTGAGTTAGCTCATCATATATACATTTATATTTTTATGTTACCATTGTATATAATTATTAAATATAAATTAATAGTAAATAAATAATAATACATATAATATTTATTAATAATTAATATGGGTATATATTTTTTTATGTAATGTATTGATAAATTTACACACTTTGCATGTGAAATATAAGAGATGTATTATTTTATAGTATGGGAAGTAAACACAGGCAGATGCTTAAAAACAGTGCCCTGTGGTGGTGTTATTAGAAGTGTTGCCTGGTGTCCAAACCAAGCTATATCATTGATAGCCGTCGCAGTTGATAAAAAGGTTCTTTTAATAAATCCAGGAGTCGGAGACGATCTTGTTATTAGCAAAACTGATGAGCTTATGGAAATAGTACCACAGAGTGAAAAAATAGGTATCAATAATTCAATAATTAAAATTATTGTTTATATAATTTATTTTTTAAATAATTTAAAAAAGATTATATAAACATATATAAGCTTTTTTGAGACAAAATTGTATATGTGTATGAAATTAATGTATGTTATATGATATTAGTAAGTGACAGAGTACAAAGTGCAGTACAGTGGGAGCAAGTAGAAAAGGAACATTGGACGATTGGAATTAGGATAATTCTAAATAATTTTAAAACTGTAAAACAAGTAACATGGCATGGAAAGGGAGATTATTTCGCTACTGTAATGCCAGATGGCCAAAATAGATCAGTGTTAATAAATCAGTTATCAAAGCGGAGATCTCAATTGCCTTTTAATAAATCAAAGGGATTAATACAGTGTGTGTTGTTTCATCCGATTAGACCGTATTTATTCGTTGCAGTAAGTAATAGTAATTTATTTAAAAAATATTAACAGTATTAATATTTCAATCCATTTTTTAATAAATTATTTTATTTACCTTTTTTTCAGACGCAAAGGAACGTGAGGATATACGATCTCGTAAAACAGGAAATGGTTAAAAAATTATTATCCAATTCACAATGGATATCAACAATGGCTATTCATCCTGGTAAATTATATTTACAAATCTTGTAACAATTATGTATATATTCTCTTAATGCGTGATCGTCAAAAATGTTTTAGGAGGTGATAATGTTTTGGTAGCAACGTATGATCGCAAGATGCTTTGGTTCGACTTGGATTTGAGTACTAAACCTTATCAAACATTACGATTACACGGAACTGGTGTACGTGCTGTAGCATTTCACAAACGGTATCCTCTATTCGCTTCTGGAGCTGATGATAGGGGACTTATTGTATCTCATGGAATGGTGTACAAGTAAGATATAACGAATATGAGAATTCTTTTTGCATATCTATATATTTAATCGTTGTATATACTTTTTCAGTGATCTTTTACAAAATCCGTTAATTGTGCCACTGAAAAGATTGTGTAACCATGAATCATATAATGATTTTGGTATTTTGGATGTCATGTTCCATCCCATTGAACCATGGATATTTTCTGCAGGTGCAGATTCTACTATATGCATGTATACATAAATAAATAAATATAGATATTTACAGAATATTGCAGCGTCACCATCCTTATACAAAAAAAAATTATATTAGTGTTTTTCCATCTTTATATAAAATGCATAAAATATATATTAAGCTCAAAGATCGAAAACGCTCACCGATTGCAAAAAATCGATCACAATATGTTCTGACATGTAAAAATGCCACAATGCATTGTAGACGTTTATTGTTTATTGATGTAGCTACAACGCGATGTGATAAAAATAAAATTATAAAGAAAATTAACAATTACCCTTATTAATTCTTCTGGCTCTTACAAAAAATTTAAAATAATTCTGATAGAATTTTTTTTTTTTTTACTAATATAAAATATTTGTTCTCTTATTAAAAACTTACTTTGCAGAATATATATAATGTGCAATTTCAAATGTTATAATAATAGTTCTTGCAAAAATAAATAATTTATTAATTCCCATAAAAGGATAATTGTATATTCTGAGCAATCATTACTAGAAAAATATTAATAATTGTTTTCATCAATTTTTTTATTAAAGGAGCCATATTAATAAAGGCGACTGTTCATTTTCATTTATAATTTTCAATCAAGACAAATTTGTTGTCAATATATACTTTTTTTTGTTACTTATTATTAATATAAATTCTTTGCAATATAATTTAAATAATAATTAAATATGATAACAAAATGTAGGAACTTGTACATTTGCATTAAAGTTAAATTTAAATCATAAAAATTTCATTACTTTCATCATTATAATAAATATTCTATCAGCTACAATTATTATTATATAAAAAGCAAAATTATTTTACAAGACTTCTAAAAAATGGAAATGTACATAAATTACTTATGCTAAATCACGATAGAGAAATAGTATTTTGCTGTTCTTTTCTCCGGTTTCCCAAAAAATGTTTGCTTCATTTCATTTATATGATACATTAAGATTAAGGAGAGTGTCCTAAGCACTGCCACTCAGGCTCACCGCAAACGCAAATACGACCTGCACGTCGCACTTGAAATACAGTAACAATACCTCTACTATCGTCAAATCTACATGTGATGTGCAGATCGTATATTAAAAAAGTGTAAACTTGACTACCCCATCTCTGCCTCAAGTACACTGATCTAGGATCCTCTCTCAATACATGTTCTATAGCTTGTTTTTGTTCAAAAACCTTGTTGTCTGAAATCTCGTTTAATTGCATCAATGCACGTTCATTAAAAATTACCGACAATGCTGTTGTGCGAGGCTGCGAAATCCAGTTTGGTACCCTTATCTCAGAAAAATTATCCTCCGTCGACGTATTCATCGGCACGGACGACACGATAGTCCCTACGTGAATATTCGATAAGGTTCGCGACGGCGTCAAGCTCTGAGACTCGAGTCCTTCCTCTCCATCAGGCGCTTCACGTATTCCCATCCTTACAGGAGAATTATCGACTCTTGCATGTAACATATGAGTGACTAAATCTATATTTGTACCGCAAACTGTGCTCGGACCATCTGCTCCGTCCAGCAGCCTGGAGTTGCGTAAAAACTGATTCTCAGTGTAGTATATTTCACTGTCTCTCTCTAAGTACGCTGAATCTGCATTGCTAGAATTATTTAGATCTACATCACGTAACCTGTTATTCAAATCGCTAAGATCGCTAGAATCCGTCCGCGATTCAGTTAATTCAGCATTCTGCTCAATAGAATTATTATCTAAATTTAATCTCATATCAGGTGCCCTATCTTGGGATGTTTCTGTATGCATAATATTTGTAGCATTGGTTTGTAATGAAGTAGCATTATTAGCATAAGCTTCCATCGATTGAGAAGACTGTCTTGCAATATCGTAGCCATCAAGATTTGGATCCGCTTGAAATTCTTCTACCTGGAGCCTTAAAGCTATTTCCTCATCTCTGGAAATATCAAATTCAGCTTGTCTGCCACTGTTGGTGTTTGCATCATCGATATTAAGATCAATCGATTGGTCTTCACTTAAGTTAATGGCTTCTTCTGTATTTTGAAACGTGTCTGAGATATTTGTGTTATTCTCTCTTAGTCTATTACTTAATTTCTCAATGTGTAATGGATTATCGTACTGTGGTATATATGGTTTTATATCCAGAACAGGGGTCTGATTAACCATATCAACACCCTCAAAATAAATTGTATAATTCTCAATTTTCAAAATCTTAACTAAACTGAGACCAATGGGACATGGCCGATGTGGAGAACGTGTAGAAAATACCCCTGTTTTTATCCCATTTAATCGTGGTGGTGCAACTTTTGCACGAGTGTGCGTTGAATCGTTTCTATGAAAATGAAATAAAATCCTACGAAAGGAAAAGACAAAGATTATAATTTGTTTCATCAATAATGTTACAATTATTTTTTTTTTTTTTATAAAATTATTCTTACCACATGTGTGAAAAATCTTGCAAACCCTGCAATGCATGATCCGGATTTGTAAATACAGAATTATAAAGTGTTAATTTCCCTGGAACCTTCCCACATATTCCAGATTGCCGTGGAGTTGCCCTCTTGTTGGGGAACCAAGTGGAAATAATTCCAATGGGTTTTAATTTGAGAATGTCTTGATCTTTACTTGTACCAGGCTTTGCTTCTTCTACAGTTATCAGCTTGGAATGTGAAAGGACTTCCCCATGTTTTTGCAACTCCAAAACGCGTTTAATATCATCGACGTCCTTATCGAGTATATATCGTAGACCTTTCACTTGTTTCCTAAAATGAAAAAATTTCTTGTCAAAATGTGACAGATTGGCAAATAAAAAACATTTTTGAAGTACCTTAAATTATTAATCTCTTGTCTGGCTGTGTTTAATTGACCGAGTAAATACTCAATGCTCAAGCTAGGATTTTGACAAGTCAAGTCCATCTTCGTTATATATGTTTGTACACAGTTTTCAATATATAATTATACAGATCACGATATATACCAAATATTAAATTTTTGACTACTGAAAGTCTTTGGCATCATCAATCATGAGGGAGACACTTCGTATGAAAATGTAGACCAGTGTCGATTTGTGTCACTAGAGTCCCTAGAAGAGGGACTAGGGACTCTATAGGGATTCTATACAGAATGTCCCATTTTAATGTTCTAAATAACTTTTTTTTATTCTTTAAATTTTTTATTTTATGTCAAAAAATTATTAACTTCAAACCTTTATTCAAAAAGTACTGCATGAAAAAATACTTTATTATAGGATTTTGGAAAGCTCTCGAGCTAATAGCTACAAAAATATGCAATGAAAAATATTAAATAGTGATCCTATTTAAGAAATTGAAGGTAATCTTCAAGCAAGTATTCAAAGTCAACCTGATACCATCTTACATCACCCTTGAAATCATACAACTTTTGTCTGAAACATTTTTTTCTACAATCAAAAATAAAAAAATAATTTTAAGCTGGGACATTAAAACAAGACACCCTGTATATTGCAAAGCGAAATTAACAGGAGTTAGCTATCTATCTTCTTATATCGTCTATGGCCATATGGCGGGGTCTCCGATTCCGATATCATCAATTCGCGGAGTTTATGTGTGAATTTTTGTCGACTTAAATCGTTTTATTTCTCAATAATATGAAACTCTTCGAAGATCCCATTTTTAAAAACAAGTACATGAAAAATAAACGCCGCGTGAAACGATGGGAGAGCGATTTTATGGAAAAATACGGACGGAAACCTAACAAGGCATGTACTACCTCGCAACTTCTGTTCACATTTTTGTTAGAATCGATGAAATACACAATTTTCCAGTTTCTACCTTGCATTCACACTCATATAAATCGTATATTATAAATAAATAATTTAGAATTATATATAATTATATTCACAATTTTAAAAAAGTAGACAAATAAACTAGATAAAGATGCAAGTTCAGTTGAGTTTTCAAAGATTTTTATACATATTTCTTATATGTATAAGAGAAAAAAACAAAATAAAAATTGTAACGATATAAAAATGTAATATATCAAAAATATGTTGCATCTCTCTATATTATTAAAAAATAATAAAATTGGATACTGTATTATATATCAGGAATGTAACACACTTTTTATACCGTATTTATATTGCTGCATTTTTTAGTCATTTAATTTTTTTAATTCACAGAATGACATAAAAGAAGCAGATATATCTATCAAAGAGGCATATAAGATATATTGGAAACTAAAAACACGTGCACTTGAGGAAACCCTTACAGATATTACTTTCTGTGATGATATGCAGGACAATGTCACTAACTCGTTGCAAAAATCAATGAGTGATCAGGAGAAGATTCTAAGCCCAGAAAAAAATACAAAGGATGCAGAGAACATAGATCCTCATAATAGTAAACATTTTATAGAACTTGAAGATCCTCTTAGTCAATTAAATAAATCGGCAGATGTTGAAGGAGTCTGGGGAGACCATTTGAGCAAAAGCAAGGAGCAGATACCAAAGAAAAAGCAAGCTCTATTAATTGGTAGATCTTCGTCTTTTCAGCTATCTAAAAACAAATTTGAAAGTTCAACCTTTACTAAACGAAATCCAAGAAAATCACTATCATCGACTAAAATCAGAAACAAAGTTGAAAACGACACCAGCTCAAACATTGATCAGACGGCTGTGTGTGACAAAGATGGCTTTGATGTGGCAGCTGATGAGATAAAGTCCATGTTTGACGAATCGATGAAGTTAACATTTAAAGAGAGCAAACCTACCACTCAGTATTCTATCAATGCTGTCCAACAGCTGGTAGACAGCCAGGTGACTTGTGTGAATCGTAATTTGAATGGGGGTTGGCTTGATCGATGCACAATAGCCATCAATTCACAGAGATTCTCAGGCTCTAGCGATTCTGGAGTGGAATCGACAGAATCCAGCATTTACTCCACAAAGTCATCTACTGCATCCTCTGCCACATTGCTCCAGGTCTCCGATGAGGATTTTATATGCAATAGCGATTCCGAAGAAGAATGCAGAAAGAAACGTATCAGAAATTTCAAGAAGGAACTGAGTGAACAAGATAATATTCATCCTGCAAAACGACAATGTATTAAAATTGATTTTGACACTACTCAGTCTAACGATATAATCGATAACGATACATTCAAGCAGATTTGTCATGTTAATAAAAATTTAAATTTAATACACAAAAGTAACAAAAACGAAAATGACAATATTAACGCATCCAAGTTAATTAACGATCTTAAAACAAGTTTCAATATATTGGACAAATCTATTAGGATTCAAAATAACATAAATCACTCAGATTCGAATGTTATCAATAAAGAGACATCTGAGAATAATTGCAAGACTGATCAAGTAGAAAATAGATTCAGAATAACAGATGCTATTTCTAAATCAGCTGATCTTGCGAATCAAGAGGACTCTTTGGTATCCAACGAGGAATCAGTAAAGCAACATATATCACGTCGAAGAGCAAAACAAGTACCGTCAGAGGATTCCAATTCTAATGTGGAAGAGAAGGACAAAAAGGCGAAAGTGAAGACACGTTCCGTCAAAAAATCCATAAGTAGGCGAGGTAAAGATAAGACGGCAAGCAACGAAGAAAAATGCAACATGAAGGGAAGAAGAAAATCTTCGAGAAAAGATACAAATTTAGAGAAGAATGATAAAGACCAAAATTCAGACTCGGAAATATACGACATTCCGGCGTGTGATGACGCGAAGATGTTGCAAACGATTCCTCGCTTCGCGATGAAGCCGTCGAAGAGCAGCGACCTCGTTGTCCAACTTTCCGAATCGCTTTCCAACGATGCCCAAGAAAGGGATGCTTCGACACTTTCGACGAGCACTAAATCGACCGCGATAGCGAAGCTAGAGCAGAAAATGGCTACTGGGACGATGAACAATAATTTTGTCAGGATAAATTTGAAGAAAAAAGTATTCGTGCGGGGCAAGAAAAATTTCAATTTGTCCAAATATAAGAGAAATCAGTGGAAACACAGAAAGAAATCCAGTGCGAATGACCTGGACGCGGCTGATCTGATCGACAAAAATGGTATGACGTGTTTCAAATGCGGCGAGTCTGGGCATTTCGCTAAAAACTGCACAACTTCCGTTGCTCTTCTACCTTTGTCTGAAATTGACGAGTCTATAAACTTTCCAACTCTGGAGGAAGTCGAGAAGATGGCCGGCAAGAACGCACAAGGTCGCAGAATTGATGGACTCCCGGAAGGATCGCTTAACTTTGCTGCAAAGGCTTCGTGTTCCTCGCAAGAACACGAAGAAGAAGAAGAAGAAGATATGATGAAGCTATTTGATGACGACTTTGACTTTAATGAGAAGGAGGCCTTCATCTCCCATAAGATTCCACAGGAGTTGTGCTCCAGATTATTGCCGCCTCGAAGGGAAGTAGTCGATCCGCTATATTCCACAAACAAAGACAACAGTCTCATCGAGACGCCGGAAGAAGTCTTTGAAGCACTACGCACGTTTGGTCACAAAAGCTTTAGAAGTGGCCAAGAGAAAGCAATAATGAGAATTTTGTCTGGCCAGTCCACTCTGGTAAAGCTGTCAACCGGTTCCGGAAAATCCTTGTGCTATCAATTACCAGCGTACCTGTACTCCAAACGTTTCCCTTGCATCACCCTAGTAATCTCGCCCTTGGTGTCCCTGATGGACGATCAAGTAACGGGTATGCCCGCGTTCCTGTCCGCCGCGTGCTTACACACCAACCAGACACCAAAAGTGAGGGAACAGGTGATGGAGTCGGTGAGGCAGGGCAGGGTGAACATTCTGCTGGTGTCACCGGAAGCGGTGGTGGCCGGTGAAAAGTCCACCGGTTTCGGCGCCCTCCTTAATCAGCTACCCCCGATCGCATTCGCCTGCATCGACGAGGTCCATTGCATCTCTCAGTGGTCGCACAATTTCCGACCGTCCTACCTGATGGTCTGCCGAGTGCTCAAGGAGAAGCTGCGCGTGAGGATGATATTGGGACTCACGGCGACCGTCACGAAGACAACCGCGGAGAGTATAGTGAAGCATCTAAATCTGCACGACGGGATGACCGGTATCATATCGGACCTGCCCCTGCCTAGGAATCTCGTCCTGACGATGTCCAAAGACGAGAACAAAGACCAGGCGTTGATTGCACTGTTGAAGAGCGAGAGGTTCCGCGATTTGGACTCCGTGATAGTTTACTGCATTCGCAGAGAAGAGTGCGCGAGAATCGCAGGCTTGTTAAGAGTGTCGTTACAGGTAAGTATTAAGATTTCATTTATTATTATTATAGCTATATTGAGAGAGAGAGAGAGAGAGAGAGAGAGAGAGAGAGAGATAGAGAGAATTACAAGATCTCAAAAGATATGAAATGAACGTAGGATCCACGAAATCCTGAGAACCCAAAGGCAAGGATATCTACGATAGCTGAAGCTTATCATGCTGGTATGACGACCTATAAACGCAAGCTCGTGCAAAAGGAGTTTATGAGCAGCAAAATTAGAATCGTGGTCGCCACCGTCGCATTCGGAATGGGAATCAACAAATCCGACATTCGGGCTATCATTCATTACAATATGCCCGCTACCTTCGAAGGATATGTGCAGGAAGTCGGCCGTAGCGGAAGAGACAATATCACAGCGCACTGTCACTTGTTCTTGAATTCTGTGGTACATTCATAGTTAATTAAAATTTCAAAATTACTCTCTTTGAAAGAACCGAGCACTAATCCTACATGAAATTGGATTTCGGTAAAATTAGCTGATTTTATATGTTGTAATTTATGATTTAAACAAAACATGTAATAGATTCAAAGCGCTCTTATATGTAGACAGTCAAATATGAAAAACCTGGGCTTTGCGAGTTGTTTGACTGATTATAGGTCAGTAATTGTTATTTAGCTTTGAGGGTTTTACATTTTTGTTTAACAGGTCAAAAACTACAACGTATGAGAAAACCAGCTGATTTTACCGGGATCCAATTTTACATAGGACTAGTGCAGGGTTCATTTCTAATTGATATTAATTGATATTAATCTTTATTCTAATTGATATTAATCTTCGACTCTGCTTTATTAATCTATTTATTATTATTTCTCAAATATAGCAAAATAGTGATAAATGGGAATTGCGCAGACACATACATGCAAACGGTGTCGATAGACATACGATTAGACGCTTACTCCAAAAGATCTTCATTCCTTGCTCCTGCGCAAAAATCAATACAAAAAGTCCCGACCAGAAGTGTTCTGGTCACGAAGTCGCCCTTCCAATCGACGAGATCACTCAAGAGCTTGATATTACGCAAGAAACAATTGCGACATTATTATGCTATCTCGAGCTACACCCGAAGAGTTTCATTACTGTCTTGTCATCTGTATATGTTCGAGCACGAATTTCCAGTTACCATGGACCGCAAGCTCTTAAACAAGCGGCGCAATCTGTAAGATTTTATTCGAAATAGTAATATTTTCTAGCAATATAATTTTTAAGGTGAAATATATTGTAGTTGTCAGTCAATATAGAAATCAAGGTAGTGAGTTTAAATTGACCACACTGGCTAATAATAAAAGGTTCTTTATTGAATAGGCAACGTTTCGACTCTGGAATTGGGTCCTTTTCACGCTACAATATTAAAACAAGTAGTCGTAAGTACAAAGAAAAAGAAAACGCAACAATTTTTCTCATACAATTCACGTAGATCTTAATGAAATTACGAAAGAGAAAAAACTTTACCCATAAATTCACATGTTTTAAATAAGTCTCAATCAATATTATGCGCATTGTGTAACCCTTCACATCGAATTTATGGGTAAGGTTTTTTCTCTTTCGTAATTTCATTAAGATCTACGTGAATTGTATAAGAAAAATTGTTGCGTTTTCTTTTTCTTTGTACTTACTACTTGTTTTAATATTGTAGCCTGAAGAGGACCCAATTCCAGGGTCGAAACGTTGCCTATTCAATAAAGAACCTTTTATTATTAGCCAGTGTGGTCAATTTAAACTCACAATATAATTTTTGTACTTTGTTATAGAAAAAAAATAGAGTTAGTTAGAAATGACTTTGATTTTAGTCTCTACCGCTCGCAATGGCGATAGCACTGGACATGCAGAGGGGAATTTCGCACGAGGACAGTAACCTAATAGAATTTTCGGTAATCGAAGTCGCGTCAGCCATCGGCTGGGATAGTGGAGTAGTAAAGAGTCATCTAAAAAATTTGGAATGGATAACAGGAAGTAAGAAAGTATTTCTATTAAATTTTATTGTGTGGGAAATGTTTGGTTTCCTTTTTAGAATGATTTTTATACTGGATATCCTGCAACGTCATGTTCATACTGAAACTGTGTATTCTTGGTGTCATTCTAAGTCGAAAAGTCTTAATACACATATGCCCTAAAGTCGATGTTTTGAAGTTACAGCGAAAGAAATGCAAAAGTAATTATTTACTTTTCTTATATAATGGAAATTTTTTTCACAGCTGATGGAAAGACGAAACGTTCGGCTATATCGGTAAAATACGATAAACTCGGCTTACGGGTGAAAGCACCAGGCGATTTGACAGACGCGGAATTGGATGAGGCACTTGACGAATTGATTGCCCGTACTCGTTTCCAGGAAACCTCGTGTTTGCAGCAGCTCGAGCTCATATCCTCCACATTCGATAAAATCAGCGTACCGAGGATCGAGCACTGTTCGATTTTGACCGACGATGTCTTAAGGAGATCGGAAGAGCTCAAAAATATTATCAGAGAATACTTTTTAGCGGATTCTCCTTTAAACAATGTTGATATCAGTCTCCAGGTATGTTCTTTAATAAAATAAATCTACTTATAAACATCCGAATAATATAAGCAAATCTGCCCGCACATATGAGGCTTAATTGATGTCATAAGTTGATATGCATGTGATATGAAATTACCTAAATACTATTATATTACTTAAATAAATAAAATTTGTATTTTTGTAAGAGTTGTAGAGGAATAAAGTGAAATAGAAAAGTGATTATTCTTAGAAACAGTAAATTTTGAAAAAAATATGTTATGGACATCAATGAAACAATTGTTTGAAAGAATTTTAAAAAATTTTTAGGAAAATGTTTTTGAGTGACACCTCATATTTTCACAAAAAAACATCTTTAAATTCTCCATTTTAACATATTTCTTTTCAAATAGATTATAGTGGTGGAATATGATTTTAAAAAATAAAATAAAATACATAAATAGTACAAATTTTTAGTCGTTACATTAAGAGGATACATTTTCATTCATATGTGTTTTGTTTGCAGAATGAGGTGACGAATGAGCAACAAATCGCCACCGATGTGCGTAATTTGATAATATGTTATAGAGATACGAAGTTTACCGGTCGTGCCATAGCTCGTATCTTTCACGGAATACAGAGCCCAAATTATTCCGCAGTGATTTGGAGCAGGTGTCGTTTTTGGAGGACTCATCTGGCTGCAGATTTCAACGTCATTTGTAAAATAGCGACCAGAGAAATTCTAGCATTACGATAACGAGAACGGTTAATCGAATATTACTTGATTTGATACGTATATTTAATTTTTTTATTATAGAACTTTACTAATTTTTTGTTATTCTTATCAGTTAACTTCATTATTTCACATCAAGTTTTATTGAAACAAATTTTCATAATGCAATAAAATTAAGACATTAATGGTAAAAAAACACATTTTCAACATATTCGATATGACGTTAATTTGAGATTGAAGTTTATCAGAGAGAGAGAGAGTGAATAGTTATTTAATAAAATGCATATTTAAAAGATAATGCGAAAACTTGTTTTATATATTTGGAAATATTGTGTATAAAGGAATTTTAATAAGAACAAAATGTGCATTTTGTAAGGTACATATAGCAATTAATTTTACGCTTGTTGAATCTTGACTAAAGGAATTTTAATATAAACTTTTCTATACAAAATTGTAATACGAAATAACAAAATGTAAAACGGTTTTTTTTTCGTGTTTAGTTTGTTTATAATGTGCTTAATAGAGAATTAAACATTGTATGTTATTCTTAAAAATAAAAGATATGATGTTTAACAAGAAAATAGATTAGAGTCGTTTGCGTTGATACATACAATTTCTCCCCTCCCCTTCACCTATAGATAAAAATATAAATATATATGTATATACAGGTTGTTTACGAAATACTTAGACAAACTTCTAGAGTATATTCCTCATGTCCTCGGGATTACGATAACTTTGGTTTCTCAATTTGATAGATGTTTTCGATAGGTTTTTTTACCGAGAGAAAGAATGTCGCAAACCAGAATGCTCTACGATCAATAGTTTTCGAGGTATCGAATTTTAAAGGTCGTAAAATCGTAAATTTACAACTTTGCATGCAAAGCGAGATTCAATTAATTCAAACCTGTGTCTAGTTTTTTGGTAGTGAAGAATGAAGCCCCTCCCCCAAAACATCTATTAAATTGAAGGGCCAAAGTTATCGAAATCATGTCAAATTTAACACAAAAAAGTGGGAGAACTCATTGGCTTAGAAAATATAATAAATTGATTGAAATATAATGAAATTGACAAAAAAAAAAAGGACCATTTTTATATCATAAAAATTATGCTTTTTTTAAACAGCTGAAACTCGGCAAAAAATCATCGTAGACTAAAAATTCAAAAAGTATTTTGAAGCTTGAAGTTTCAACTTTAGCGCAAAATTGGTGGTTTTTAAAAATTTTTATTTTTCCTTCCTGTAAAAAATTATGATAAAATTTATGTATATGCTTCCTATCTAGGACATTTGTCCAAGTATTTCATAAACTTGTGTATATTATTTATATATTTTGTATATTATATACATATATATATATATATATATATATATATTTGATATATATATTTGAAATTTGTATGTGTACGAAATATAACAATTATTTTATAGACCAACTTTAAAGGTCGTAGAATTTAATTGCGATCATATAGTCATCATATGAAAAAACCGTGACGCTGAAAATACAGCTAGATACGCTCATTTCAAATTCACGTTACTATTCTCTTCATGTAGTTGCATTGCCGTAAAAATTTGTGCATCCGAATCTGATGCATTTTCCCGACACGATTCATGCAGGTCTCATTTTGGCAGAGAGCGCAGAATTCGGCAGAGATGTCGTGAAACGGTGAACGAAAGTATACGTTGGCATTCTTCAGGCTCTTGTTCTTGTGATGTGCCCACACATGCAGAATGACCTTAGAGAGCGTAAAAGATTTAGAAATTTTTTTGAAAATTTACCTGGAAAAAATATTTTCCAACATTTCGACATTTATACCTCAAAGAGCATCAATAAGGCGAGGAACCAGCGGAAATAGATGATGGCCGGTAAGAACAAACAAATGGGATTTATCTGGCCAAAGGAGGCACCCGCTGGAACCGGCTCTAACTCTGTTAAACGACGTTTTTTCGAGGATTTTTCCTTCACTTCTTTCGGTATCTGTAAGAAATAAATTACTTATTTCAATAAAATTGAATATATTGAAGGCAACTTTACTGATTTCAATAATATTGAATTATACCCAGATAGCCACAGTAATTATTATGACATCATTTTGATGTCAAAATGCATCATTTGCCATCAAAATGATACATTTTGATGTCATAATATTATTACTGTGGCTATTTTGATGACAAATGATGCATTTTGACATCAAAATGATGTCATAATAATTACTGTGGCTATCTGGGTATATATATAATTATATAAAAGGCTTTTTGAATAAAAAGTTCAAAAAGTTTTATCTGCTCTAGTTAGTTAAAATTATAACAAAGTTATAAACAAATAAAGTTAGTCATCTCGATGCTTTGAATAAAGTAGACGAAGTCTTATACTTATTCAGCATGTATCTCAGATAACAAACTGACGTCATTAAACATCAATATGACGTCAGTTTGCTACCTATATTTTTATTCAAAGATTTCAAATATTTCGTGAAATATCCCTTTTTCAAACATCTTATCCTAAGTCCTAGTCTACAAAGGGTGATTTAAGGTATAATTTAAGAAGATGTAAGAGAAAAATTATATCGATCTTAATTAAGCTTCAAATTCGAAGCTTTAAAAGTTGGGAATTGACCAACTTGCTTAGGGTTTAGAGATTAGAATTTTAACTTAAGACAGAAATATTGCAGTTTGGAACTATGTTACTTTAGGGCTTAATCACCTTCAATCACCCTTTATAGATTAATTATTAGGGCTAATACTTTTACACTAATTATAATAATTAGTCTCATTATTCCGTGCATAAAAGTATTAAGATATATGACGATCAAAAACTGAATATTTTATAAGATATTTTACATTATTTATTAATATTTATGTCAAAAAATTGTTAACTTTAAACTTTCAATTGTTAACTTCATAACTATATATTACTCGATCGAAGAGTGCTTATAAGAAAAAAATGTTTTATTATAGTATTTTGGAAAACTCTCGAGATAATCTGCCAGAATATGCAATAAAAAACAAGGTTCCATTTAAGAAGTCGAAGATGACCTTCACATAACCTTCAAATGATTATCCAAGATCAAACCAATAACACCATATCTTAATTATATGTCCCCCTTGAAACCATACTTTTTTGTTTGAAACATTTTTCTCTAAAATGCTTCATCATTTCCGAAATATAATATGTAACATCTGTAACACCCCAGATAGCAAAATATGTATATATTATATATATGTATATATTATATTATATATATGTATATATTATATATTATATACAAAATATGTATGTATTATTATATCTTAAAAATGTTTACAAAAAATGTCATTATGAGTACATAAATATGCTCAAATTAATATTAGTTCACATTTTTCATCATATGTATGTATAACTTGTGCTCATGATACTTATCATCATAATATAATTACAAGACATATAACACATTTCAATCATAAAAAAAATCAGAAGATCATGACATAATGAAATCTGATCATCAGGCATTTCTATCTGGGTACTTTAAATGACTCACCCGGTATATATAGAATGCGTATGTTCAGAAGAATCTATGTAAAAAATATACATGTATACATATATGAGGATTTTCCAAGCAGTACCTGAAATGGCACTTTCCTAAGATGATCTCTGGCCATTCTGTGATCTATGAGGCTGACTTCCGGTTCCCCGGTCTCCGCGTCATTCATCGCCATCGTGTCGGTCGAATAACGCATATCACAATCGACAAATGGATGAATCAGATCCTCGCCGGTCTCCTTGTCTATATAAATTCGATCATCCATATCGATTCCTTGTTTTTGAATAAAATATCGGACGATAAAAAGATATGTGTAGATTCGATCGTTGGGTCCTCGGGGTCACACTTCCCGGATGTCTACTTTGCACGCGTTTATGCTAATGGCGGATCACTCGAGTGGGAAAGTAAAACCTTTCTAAACCAGATTGAGGGACATTCTGCAACAGAGATATATTGATATTGTATTGAATTAATTCGCTTTCAAAAGACAAAATTAACATTCGTTGGATATATATAGTAATAATGTATTGAATGTATGAGTATATCATATAGATATATATGTATAGATATATATGATATATATGTATAGATATATATGTATAGATATATTTATTGTTCCAATATTAAATTTCCAAGAAAATTATGGTAATTAACTGTGTCATGAGTCATTCCTGCACATAATAAAAATCAAGAAGAAAATATATAACTAAGAAATACTCGTATAAGATGCCTTGTGAAGAATATGTATAAAGTGTGATCAATATATAAAATGAATCAGTAAGCGAGAAATCATTAACATATAATATATATGTTAATATACAACGTGTAATAGTGAATAAAATTTGAGTCATACTTACAATTAGAGATTTTGATAATGTTAAAATAGAAATAATATTATTAATAATAATGCGCTAACATTTTTCTAACATTTTATATATAGCCCTTATAAAAATTTATCACTTAGTAACGCTAATTTATCACTTATATAATTATTTCGAGTACTTAAATTACTGTATATCAGTATTTTAAGTACTTGTTTGTATTTTAAGTAATGTTTTAATAATATTAAAAAAAATTTTTTAATGCTATTTTAATTTAGATAGAAATAATTGACCTAATGTGCAAAATTAAACAAAAAATAATAACTAACAAATAAAAATAATATAAATAATAATTTATTTTAATTTATATGGAAACTTCGATTTTTTGTCTCAAATAAGCAACAAAAAGATAATTTTCCATTTATCAACTCAGTTTTAATTAATTTAATGTTCCAAATTTTTTATTTTTGCATTAGAAATTAATTGATTAGAACAGTTATTAGACTTTTAATTTATTTAGTAGAACTTGAAAAATAATACATAATACATAATAATAAGTAAAGAAATTAATATTAAATATATTAGAAATAATTATGTCGTATTGCAAACGTGTCAATACAGCAGTTAAAAAAATATTTGGAATATTTTTTTAAATATATTTTATAAATAATATGATAATTATACACACACACACACACATATATATATATATATATATATATATATATGAATAACATTTGTAAACATTTATAAACCATATAAGAATGTTTAAAATGCATATAATCAATATTTAAAAAAAATCTTGAGCTTACTTTTTGCTTTTACTAACAATGAGAAAGAAAAACACTCAAAAAATATTTAGAATAATATTTCTTAAATATATTTTAAATATTCAAAATGTTATGTTATGAGAGAGAGAGCTACATTTTCTTAAAATATTTATAAAACATTTCATGAAGAATGTTTATAAATGCACAAAAAATCAGCATTTAAAAATATAATTTATTTTATTCACTTTACATTCAGTTTTTTACTTATATAAGCATCTAATTATTTGCATTTAAAAAATCAGGACATTGTTTTACAAAAATGATATTCTAAAAGATTATTTAAACTTGTTTTTATTGATTCAATGATATTATTTCCGCAAGACTTGAAAGCGGATAAACTGTAGCTTTTTTGTTATATCAGATTATATAACTTTAATTGCACGTATAAACGTCCATAAAAACTGACAATGAGTCTCGCTATTAATGTCGTTAACGCAAAATAAATGCAAAAGATGTATTTACATTTCTCTTGCATTCGAACATAATAATCTTGCAAATGTACATATGTACAACAGATGACTTCGCGGTTTTGATAAATTAACAATCTTTTTTTCTTCATTTTGCATTCCTTGTAGAAGACAATCATTGATACTCCAAAAATATATCTACAATACAGTTGCAAAAGATATTAAGTTCAAACATTGAAATATATGCATGTATATGTTGCAGGTATGTATATATAGATATAAGCAAGATTTAGATTAGAAAAAGGTTTAGAAAACAGATAATAAAAAGATTTATATCTAAAATTATTTAGAAATAACATGAAGATTATATCATTGTATTATTATATATATATATGTATATTTAGAAACAAAATGAATAATATATTATTATTATGTATTATTATATGAATATTTCTCACTTTAAACAAAAACTTGATGCGATTTTTGCGTTCCAAGAAAAATTAACAGCAAAAAAATAATTTCACGATCATCAAAATAAACTTATATAAACGGTATAGCAATCGTTTCTTATATAGATATATAGGGTGTCCGGTAATTTGCGCCCCACCCATCAGGTGCAGGTAGAGCAGGTCAAACTGAGTAGAAAAGTCCTCTACCATTTTGAAAAATTCTCAATAATTAATTATATTTAATGAGAAATATAATTTATAAAAATCGGCCAATTCGCATGCTTTACACAAACGTAAAAGATAATAATCGACCAAATATAATAACATGCATAACTGGACCTTCGAATGGGCTGTCTTTTCTCGCCGCGCGCACTCGCGTGGATTGGCCAAACTTTATTAATTAATTTCTTCTTTATTATTAAGAAAATCGCTAAACGGTAAAGGACTTTTTTACTCAGTTTAATTTGCTCTACCTACACCTGACGAATGGGGCGCGAATTACCATCCTGTATATAAGACATAATTATCGAAGTAATTATGATAACATAATGCGCTTTTTCAATATCGCAAAAGTTGCGAACAAAAACAAAATATTTAAAATTAAAAACAGAATAAAAAACTCAGCTTATAATATTTTTTTTCGTCCCGTTTTTTATATACTAATTACTTAATTAATTATTATAATATTATATATACATATTTGTATGTACAGTGTGTTTTAAAAGTCTAAAAACTGTTGAATATCTCATCATAAACAATGCATTAAAAAATGTTTTAAATAAAAATTGTAGTATTAAATAATATCTATTTACAGATCTTATCATTTTGACCTCGGTGGCATTGTCAAGGTAAAAATGAGATCACCTTGAATTTTTATAAATGAAACCATATTTTTTTTATATGTATATATAAATCGATTCTTCGCAAATATTTTGCATAAAAAATTATAAAGATAGGAAAAAGCAAATAGTTTACGAAATATTTTATATCTTAATTTGATAATCTTACATAAATTATAAATTGAAATACCTTATATAGAATATTCATATTACCTCATCTATACTTTTATGCACCAAATAATAAGAGAAATCAATTGGTGTAAAGAAAACACATAATTGCTTTTTACAAAATACATGTAATTCATAATTAGCAACTAAATGTTGATATGATTGATATGTATAATTAAAGTATAAATTGGAACTCACGCTACTGATGCTGTTGTCCCAATAATTAACACCAATCGTCGTAGTTGAAGCAGCTTAAAATATAGAATCAATCCATCACGCAAATTCATTGGCCAGTGTATTCCGGCAAAACAAATAATAAATCATAATCGAAATGTAGTTAAACCAAAAAATGGAACGCAATATCACGATGATCACCACGGAAGTGCGCAGTGATGCACACAACACACGTTTAATTAACGACTCGATACAATGTGTGCATGACTCGCATCGTGTTGCACATCTTCAAGTGTGCCTATAGTAATTTACAAGCACTAATATCAACGTAATCAACAGCGAACCGGATTGGATCGAGCACTAAGTCATCGACAAAATACTATTAAAGACCATCGATCCTAAAGTAAATTTTTGTAACTACCAATGGAACCTAATAATAAGCCCGGAAATAAAGGTGCAAATTCATGAAACATTTATTACAGCGTTAAACACAATCACGTGATTTTGTCGTGATGTCAACATCAAGAAAATAAGTTGGCTTTGACTCACAGTTTATTTCAGTGTCGAACATTCTTGCATGTATGATAAGAGCATAGATATCATTATATTACAGTATATGCAAAGTACGTGCATATATATAAATAAAATTTGAAAATGTTTTAAAATATATTCTCAGACAGCACCAAAATTGAAACATGTCCAAAATAGATAAGATGTCTTTAAAATGTCTTTTAGATATCATAAATAAGACTTCTTGTAAAGATGTCTTTTTATATCTCTTAATTTTGGATATGGTGCTATCTGACTTGATTTTTATCTAATTTTTAAGTTCAAGGTTTTATTTTAAAATAATTAATTTTTTTATTATTAAAAAATATAAAAAATAAAGATAAAGAGCTGCAAAATATACATTTTATTGTTAAAAATATTCTTTCATTCTATGTAAAAACGTGTAAAATAATTATAAAATAATTATAATTTTATCGATATTTAAGGTGAGGCTTCTAAACTGAATAATTACTTAGACATTGCATATAAGCTTTCCCAGATAGCACCATGTCCAAAATGCACCAATAAGACATCATTAAGAAATCTTTAAGACGTCTTTAAGAAGTTTTATAATATGATATATCTCAAAGACATCTTAAAAACATCTTAAAGATGTTTTATGGGTGCATTTTGGACATGGTGCTATCTGGGTTATCTTATATTGTGTGTCAAAATAATTAAAATACTTTCCTCTTGCGCATGTGCAATCGCGCATTTCTCTCGATCAAGAAATTTAACTTTTTTATTTTATAAATTTATTATAATTTTATTTTAAGATTACAACAAATTTAATTTCTTGCACTTGTTAATTTTTAATTTTTTCTTAAAATTGTTATACGAATTCTAAGTCGTTACAAACGATCGATATATGTTCACAGAGAAATGTACAAATACGCATGCGCGAGGAAAATCTGCTGTTAGTTTTTTTCATTTCTCAACGTAAATAATAAACCAATAAACGTTTAAGTATAGTTTATCCTTTACCAACAAATGATTGCAAATCAATTAACTTATTAAAAACTAAAATCTATATCCCTCTGACACTAATTTCATATAAAATTTTTTCTTGGTATTTAAAAAAATATTAACTAATAACATAAGTTGTAATAAGATCAACAATCACCTACAAACGATCAATAAATGATTCGTAAAAAAAAGTTTTAAAAGTAAAAGTTGACCGGTTAAATTGATCGAGCTCGATGGTACTGTCAAACTGATAACTCCGAAACTTCGAAACAATATGTTGCTGGTTTTTTCAAGAACTTATACAGTCATGATGCACTAATAACTAGACACAATGTCTAGCTATTTTTGACTTAGACGTGGCTATCTTCAGATAAACACACATAAACGCAATAGGTCTGTTCTTTTTGGCTGACTCACAATCAGCTGAACTGGCTGCATTAGTTCAGAGTTTGTCTTTTTTACTCCGCATTGAAAGGAAAGAGATAAACTTTGAACTAGTAAGCGGGGTCTACAATAGCAGCAGGAGTACAGAGTACAAGAGTAAGCAGTAAGCAGTATGAAATCGGATTGGCTCATTCCGTTACTCCCGACGAAATGAGCGAATCCCATTTCGTATTGCTTACTGCTTACTCTTGTACTCTGTACTCCTGCTGCCATTGTAGACCCCACTGTACAGCCAGTTCAGCCAAAAAGAACAGACCTAATGTCATACGATTGGTTCAAATAGGACAATTTTCGAGACTTGAAAAATTCTTTATTTGATAGTCAATTGCACATTATCTATATCTGTGTTTTGTTATTGAAAGACTCCCATTGCTCCCAATGATCTACAATTAAAGTATGTACTTATATGCTCTCGGCATCTCTAGGATATACAATCAAGGCACAGTTTAGCTATAACCATTTACAACCAGTTACAACAGTAGTGTCGAAACCTTTGATATTCGTGTCCCTTAATCACGAGACCATGCGCCATGTTCTTGATGGTATAAAAGCGCATTATTCAAAGATATAGAATACAAAAAAGATGATTTAATAATTTTTTAAGTACTCACATGTATTCTATAATATTAAAATCGTCATTTATAAATGTAACATTACAAATTGTCTTAAATCTTTAAAAAAATTTAAATTTCGTCCAAATATGTTTTACACATAACATAAGAAAATCCCCCCCATAGCAAAAAACCAGTGATATCACAGTGATATGCTCTGGATGTCATAGCGATGTGCAAATGTCCGCTTTGTCACAATGTAACGTCACAATGATATCATTGTGACATTACACTTTGTTTGTCACAAAGTGTGATGTTACAATGATATCATTATGTGACGTTACATTGTGACAAAGCGGACATTCGCACATCGCTATGACATCCAGAGCATATCACTGTGATATCACTGTGATATCACTGGTTTTTTGCTATGGGGGCCATTATGGCTTGAAAATTATTTTTTGAAAAAATACAAATAATCTTTAATACTAATTTATCCAAAACGAGAAACGCAGATTAGATACACGCGTCATATGTAGGTGTCGCTATATTTTTAATGGTACAGTTGGCGCATTCGCCCTCAAATATTATACGCAAAATTTTGCTGACTGTCGTAATTAACTGGTTATAGCTAAACTGTGATCAAGGACTGATAATTTTTGAATTTATTCTCAAGAGAAACGTATATGCATAAATTCAGTTCTTAAGCTAGTTGCACACACTTTCCGTAAAACCATAACAGTAAGATTTCGACCAATCGCGTTCCGTAAAACGTAACAGTAGCAATAGAATTCCAACATGTTGAAATTTCGATTGGTCGAAACCTTACTGTTACGTCTTACGGAAAGTGTGTGCGAACAGTTTTACAGAAAAGTTGAAAGTTGATTGGCTATATTGCATGGCTTTTAGCTAATCAACTTGCAACTTTTCTGTAAGAACCAAATTTACGCATACGTTTTCCTTGCGAATAAATTCAAGAATCGGGTCCTAGTAGAATCCATATTAGTGTAACTAATAATACCATTAGCACTTTAATAATATTGAAATTTGCACTGAATAGCTTATCGCGAGCTAAGAGAGATCACCTCTCTAAGCTATAGCTGTCTTATTTCGTACCACCTTCATACAGTCAAGTTCAAAACTTTTGAACTTGTCTCGCTCACATGTGTGAGCAAGCCACCAAGCCCTGACATCTATCTTTCTCAAGCTCGCTATTCGCTTATGTATGTAGTATGTAACATGGCAGTGTTCATTCCATTATTAGAGTTCAGTAATTATACATATAGCTATCAATAATCAATGCATATTCCAGTATTATTAGAATTCAGTGATTAGCTATCAATGAGCACAAGAGAAATGATATCACAGCACACATATACCAAAGACGTTCAGAGAACATCCTGAGGATGTTCAATGTTCTCTGGATATCCTTTGAATATCTTTCGAATATGTTGTGCTATTAAGATGATATATTAAACAAAGGAATTAAGCACATGATATGATCAGGCACTTAATTATCTCGACTTACCCTACCTTTGTCTATGATGGAAACAGGTTGCCCTAAAAAAATGGAAAGCTCTTTTTCTTCTGTTCGAAATCGAAATATAATAAGAGAAAAAACATTATTTAAACTTAGCACCATAGTTGCAATAATTTTCAATGCTGCCAACTTATAACTTCTTTTACTGGCAGTAGCCAAATGTATTTTCAAACACCTAAAGTACGAAGATGCGTCCGGTGGTGCCGCTAGCAACACGATGGTGCACTCAGTGGCAGGCAAGATGGCTGAACAGTGGTGACGAATTGTAGTATGCAACGCTGGTGGATTCGCGATCACGGCGCAGCGTGGATGGCCTAACGATGGCCGAGTACATCGACATCGGAAAGCTCCCGGAAGATGTACGGGAGAAGCTCGCCGAATTGGATCTCGAACTGTCCGAAGGTGAGTAATTTTTATTTTGGTTTTAACGAAGAATGCGATCGTCCACCGCCCTTTGCGACAAATCTCGCCTCCACCGTTGCACTCTTTCTCTCTCTGTTTCCCCTTCTCCCTCTCACTCGCTCTTTTTGATTCACCCCGAGACAGAATCCCCTAGAAGACCCCCTTTTATTGATAAAATCGATAACACCTTACAGCCGTTGCCGTTTCCATGTCCTCGCGTGAAACATGCTGTTATTAGGAGTATTCGGTAATTTGCATTTTGTTCGTTTTATAATCGAGCACCAAGAAAATATTTATAATTTTATCATTCTAATTTACATGTCAAAAACAAAGGAAAAATTAGGTAAAGCGAGGAGGCGACAAATAAATTTCAAAATATATTTTAGTATCAAACCGTACATCAAAGAATGATATAAATGTTAGTATAAGTCATTCTTATATCCCTTGTATTTTATTTTTAAAAGATCACAATGGCTGTTCATCCCTATCAAACTAGATAGGAAAATTCTTTATCTCTTAATCATATACATATACACATTATGATTTGATGTGGTCATTACTTACTCCTAATCATCTTTCATTTATTGATTATATTATGTATCTTGCACTTGCATTTTATTGTGTTTGTGGAAGTTTGCGCTTAGGATTTTGAAGTAAAGTCGTTTTAACTGGCTCATTTTTGGATCTAAAGAATGAAGTCGTAAATGCAATTGAATCACATTAGAAAAATCCATATCTCTTCAATTTTAAAGCATTTAATTTCTTGGATTCATATAGCTACTTTTTTGACACCAATATCTATAATTGTAACACTGATCTCCAATATCTTTATTCACACGATTAAATCGTGTGACTTTTACATATTTATTCGCATATCTTTGGTTCGTGAAGGCTTAACTCTCATCGATACGGATCTTTGGACGTTGCGGTCGTGTCGTAAAATTACACCTGCGCACATCACGTTACAAAATTACTCGAGCATGCACCGGCTCGACGTTGCAGACACGAGATTCGTACTTTTTCTTCCATGAATAAGTTGCAACGCACCGAAGAATGTATGTGCATTTGCATTTGCGGTTAGGACTATTATGACGAGAAAGCGACCGGTTTTCTCGAGTCGCTTTTACCTAAATAACTTCTTATGGTATCCCTTTAGAGG